GTGATGAGGACCAGGGCAGTGTGATGAGGACCAGGGCAGGGTGATGAGGACCAGGGCAGTGTGATGAGGACCAGGGTCCTAAGGCACCCAGCACCTCTGTGCCTATCACCAGGACAGCCGTGGGAAGTGACCTACCCCCTCCACATGAGACGGAGCACTCGGAGCGGATGGTGGCCCACGTGTAGCTGGACTGGGTGCTGAGCTTCTTCTCACCCCCCAACCGTGGCACAGAGTATTCCCAGGCAATGCCTGGGTTCCTTCCCTGAAACAGAAGCTATAAAAAAAGAAAGGGAAAAAGATAATGAGTTAAGTTAGAACCAATAAATAGAAGCTAATTTGTTTTAAACTACTTGAAACACCAGCCATATCCATCAGGAGGTGATTACAGTAATAAACACTGTCCATCCTCCAAATTTTGTATTAACTTTCTAAACAGGAATTAAACTAGACACAAGGACATCTATAAAATATGTAGACATTTGACTCTTTTGCCTTACATTTACTGTTTCTTCCACAGCCTTTACCACCTAACAAGAGCATTTGGTTCTTTCCCTCTGTGTTACCATGGGAGCCCCACCAATGCTCTCCATCTGAGCAAATCAGAAAATGATACCTAAAAAGCACCTTCACAATTCCTAGTGAGTTCCAAACCACCAAGAACAGGTGAATGGATCTCATCCATGCAGGATGAAGGCTAACTCTGAGTACTTCCTCCTGTGATGGGATGCAGAGGACTTTTGCCTACTGGCATGTACTGTATGGCTACAGGAGAAAAACATCTTACTAGTAAAGATCTCTCAGCTTGGGCACACCTGTGAGCAATGCTCAGCACATGGAATTGCATTTGGACTCTTCATCTTCTAGCTGGAAACTCGACCACATGGACCACTTACTTTTTCCTTTATAAAGGTATCGATCCCTTGACCTGGGTGAGAGGCTTTTCTGGAAACCTCACCATTAGCCTGTTAATAGAAATCCCATTTCTGAAGTTTGGAGTCTCACTGGTCCCTGATGGGAGGTTCCAGTGGATGAAGTCACTGGAGCTTCCCTAAACTCCCTGGCCCCACAGTTCCCTCCCTGACAACATAGCTCGAGTCTAGTTGGAGAAGATGCTTCAGGACAGGTATGAGCCCTGGACAGGTGGCCTCAATGTATGACCATTGAGCCACTCTGCCGCCTGACATCCTGAGCCTCTTGCATAGGAAACAGGTTCCCAACAAGCCTCAACTACCTTCAACCCTGACCGATCTCTCTTTCCTCATGGGCATTAAAGCTAAAAGCCTGAGATGGGGGGAGAGAAATAACCAAGGCAGAAATTCACAGTGAACATGTTTATAAAGGGGCGGAGGAAGCAGCTCCGGGTCAGGAGGGGCGATGGCAGTAGGACGTGTGGAGATGGGGTGTCTCCCAGGAAGATGCAAGGACACTGGGATGGGACTGCCAGGCCTGGAGAGCAGGTGGAGGGCCTGTGGATGGTTCACACCTGCACCCATAGGTGTGGGCTGAGGGGGCAACTTTTGAACCAGTCTTTTCTTTAAGTGTGCACAGAAATACAAAAAAAGTAGGGAATTAGCATGTCCACTGCCTGTTGCCACCACCTGCCCGGTCCCATGAGGACAAATTACATTGTTAGAAGATGCCCGTTTGTATGTCGTGAGCCTCTGCCATCTGGGGTACAGCACAGAGGGGCTTGCGTAGGGGGTGAGTGTGCAGTCCCCTGCCAGGCACTGGGCCCAGGTGGTGGGTTCTCATCTCACTCCCATTTCCACAAAACTCGGCAGAATGCTGGTCCCACCCAAACAGGCACACACAGAGCCACCCACAGTGGCTGCTTCTCAGAGCCACAGAGCTTACAGGAGAGAAGCAGATTTTTGTCAAAATCGACTGATCAAGATGCAAAAATGGGGACTGCATGATATGCGTAATTACAAATCTCATCCCACACCTAGAAATGAAAGGCGATCAAAACAAATCCACTGGCCCATTTAGTCTATGTATTGATTAGTTTTGTTTCTGAGACACTATCTAATTGAAAACAATTTTGTGTGGATGTAATATTTTTCCAGTAGCCTTGAACCTACAAAAACACCCTAAGACCTCAAATCCAAGCCCTGAGACCAAGAGGCTGGAACCTACCTCCACGATCAATGTTTCGTTGGTTGGCCCAGGGGAGATTAAGCTCTCGGGCTCCCTGTAGGACCGTCTGTAGTTGAAGGCAGTTCCTGAAAACTTGTACTGGCCAGGCCAGTCCACTGTCCAGTGTCCATTCAGGTAGTATTTTTTGAGTGCATTTCGCACAGAAATGTAGGAGGTAGATACATTCATTTCATAGATGCGAATACTCCGGGCTCCAGAAGGAATGATGACCATCTGGTAATACTCTAGAGCAAAGGAGACAGGAAGGGGGAGGATGTGATGCTTCACTCAGTACTGCCAAGGCAAATCCCTAAGCACCTGCTGTTCTCCATAACCAAACCTTGAGAATCAGAATTTGGAAACTGGAGATCTGTTTTGGCAATCCAGTTGCATGAGTCCTATAAATGAGTTTTTTATTTTTTTAATTGGAGCAGAGCTATTGTAATATTCACTGTGTCTAAAAACCACTTGAATTCAAATACCCTAGCAACCACTTCCAATCAAAACAGAAGGTTTGAGAAGCAAAGCAGGCAAGGAGTCTGTGTAGGGATCTCAGGACTCTGTCTGCTGTTTGCACTACACCTCCCATCCTTCCCACCAGGTGGTTCCTTTCGCCCTTTGATCAGCCAGGCAGGCAGCTCCGGTGGGTGGACTCACGGTTGGCACGGTGCTGCTTGGCATAGAGGCCCTTGTGCGTTGTGCAGCTGGAGTTATTTCCCCGGCACACACCGCAGGAGTCTTCCACAGCATCGGATCCCAGCACATTGTCACACCCCACTCTCTGTGGGACCCACGAGGTCACGTGTCATTCATGAAAGACAAGACAACAGGGACAAAGTCACAAACCTTTTCCCGTCGAGTTGAAAGTTTCACCAACACGGGAGAGTTAACAAATATTTATTGGATACCCAGTATGTGCACTGTGAGACTGTCAACTACGCTTCCATCCAAAGGAGGAGACCTTCGCATGGCAAACATACCCTGTCCTCTTTGGCGTTTTTACACGACTGTCCTACACTGAGCCCAGAATTAAACCTATCGGGTTGTCATGCTGGAGACGTGGGTAAATTTCAGACCGATATAAAGCACTTAGCACAAATGACAAGCAATGTGGCCTCACGAGTTTCCACTGGAATTCGCCTTGTGCTTTTTTGAATCGCCTTGTGCAGAGGCAAAGAAGGAACACAGGCCACAGGGCGATTATTCCCAGCAGTAAATTATGTAAGAGGCACATTTGGCTACTGTCTAGAATTTTAGCAGCTGTTTATATATTCTGTGATGCTTGCCAATTTTCCATTTCCTAGCAAAGAATATAGGCTAGCTATGTAAAAAATCCATTCAGAAATGATGGATGAACTATAGTCCACAATCCCTTGTTTGAAATCCTAGGGACAGATGCATTTCAGAACTCAAGAGTTTTTTGGATTGTGGGAAGGTAATTAACACACATATGATGTGAGAGTCCCTGCAGGGCTCCGGACAGCAACGATGTTTCTAAAATGCGCACATCTCTACAGTGAGCGGGATAAACATAACTGAAGGTAGTCGTATCAATTCAAGACAGTTTTGCCACCAAATAAATTCAGGTCAGCTTATATTTTACAGTCAAATAAACTTTCCATTTCACACATCTTTGGATTTCAGAATTACAAATAAAGGATTGTGATACTGTATCATTAAGAATACATAAAAACAATGACATATTTAACAAATCAACTGATAATTAGACACAATGGGTGGACAGTTGAGCATTTTAAGGCTGAAAGAGATCCGAACAGAATCATTTAGTCTAATCTTCATGCATTCAAACGATTACACTGAGGGTCTGAGTGGATGATTCAACTTTACTGTGGTCATGGTCTACACCTTAAAGAAAATCAGACCTGGAACCAAGGTCTTTGGACTCCACTGAATACGAATATTGAGTAACTTCTTCACTGAAAAGCCCATTATTTACATGCAATGTATCTGACCATTGCATGTAACACCCTCCCTTTGTTTATAATAAAATTCTTCCTACATCTCACTTCTGTGCCTGGTAACAAGCTCAGAACGTTGCGTTCACTTAGCCGCCTATCTTTCCCAGCATGTGCCCTGAGTCCCTCTCCAACAGAAGTGAGGTTGCCGATTTCCCGAGACCCCCTCGACAGCAGTGAAGCGGCCCCTGTCTCTGTGCTGTCCCTGCCTTCATTTACTCTGGCGCCACTGCCTGGCTACTGCCGTCTGATTGGGCGACTCTACGCGTCCCCAGTCCCAGTGCCTTCCACAGGGACATGTGGATAAAAACCCCAAGTCCTCGTCCCCACAGCAAGTGGCCCTTTGCAAGCTTCTCCCCTTCACTCACCTCCTCAGCATCCCCCAGCTCCTGCCTGCCTCTGGGTACTCTGACCCCTGAACTGGTTCCTACCATCCCATGATTTCCTGTATCTCTGTGTTCCCCTCCCTGCTTCCCCAACACCCCTCTTCCCTTTCCCTTCCCCGAGGAACCCTACAAATCTCTTAGGTCCACATCTAAGAGAGAATCAGCTCCACCCTTCCCCCCGCCATGCTCTCTGCACACGCCTCCATTGCCACAAGCCACTGCCTGTCTCCATAGATGTTCATCTGGCTTTCTCTCCCTCTGGGCTGTGATTTGGAGGGAAGGGGTGTGCTTTAAATGTCTGGTCTCTCTAGCCCCTTACAGGATGCCTGGCATAAAGCAGACTGTTGGGAGATGTTTGTTGAATGAATGAATGATCATTATTACCTCACATATCCCATCTATACAAACATTACGGCTATCCTCCGAGCATGGAGTCCCATCTTTGACTTTATTTGACAAAGAAAAGAAGAAATCAAATCCTTCTGCGATACAGTAGAGTTTGCATAAGTCCTGATCTTAAAAAGAAATACACACACAAACACAAATAAGAAAGATACTTAAGCTCTGATCATTTTTTTGCTCTAAATTTTAGATAGACTATTTTTTTTCTTTTTTGCCCATAAAATAACTCCCACACAATAATACATTGCAAAGACATTTTTATAAATTGCCTCTTTAGGCTTGGTTTTTCCCCTTGAATTTTTTAAAATATTTTTTAAAGCTTCACTATTATTTTTTTTTCGACTGTGTCCTTTATCGGTCCTTGCTCCGTACACAGTGGTTGGCACATAGTAGGCATTCAATAAACATTTGTTGACTTGAACTACATTACTGTTCACTTATTTTACTAGTATAGTTAATTACTCTTTCTAGAAATGCAAAAAGTCACTACTATTTTGTAGCAATACACAAAGTTCTTACAAATAAAGTGTAATAAAATACTCAAAATAATCACAAAATTTCTTAATAGCTAATGCATTTACTAAAATACATAGTATTTTTAAACTGATAAAGAGAATAACTTTTGGATGAAATCTCCAGAGAACATTGTTTTTTAAATAAATATAATGGATTGTCAAAAAACGCTGATACATGGAGAATATAGGTCTCATTATATACTACAGATTGGCAGATCAAGTTCATATACTCTCTCGGTAATCCATTTCAAGGATTTATGACTTATATGGCTAACATGAACTTTTGTAGAAACTTTTTTTTTTTTCCCTTTGTTCTCTTCTTGGTAAAGAAGAGAACAGTTGATACTAAAAATTTATCTGCCTTAGGAGTTTTCACAGGCCCAAGACTCATGTACAAGTATTTTCTATATAGTGCAGGATAAGAAACCCAACTGAATAATTCTAAGAATCAAATTTAATACGTGTTTCCATGATTAACGAATTTATTTACTGCAGACTAGCAAAGCCAGAAATAGCACACAGATTTTTTGAGCCCAATTTCGAAGTTCTTTCTACTCTTTTCTCCTGTGCCTTTGTTTCTCACTGGCTTAATTTTTCTTAATTTTTACTTAATTTTAGGAGTAAAAACCCAACAAAAAAAGCTTTGTTTGAAACTGCTTAAATTTTCCTTCCAGAATTTGCTGATTCCATAAAACTCTCACCATGATAACATTATATATATTGGGATGGTAAAAGTTAAGTGCCAGATGAGATGGCTCAACTTACGTATTTCTCAAGTGTTTCTTGGATAACACAGTACTCTCATTTTCAAAGAATGAGATGCTTAGGTGTTCTTTGAATTTATCTTCAAATTATGCTACTTGAGCTACTGAGTTCAAATTACTATGATCAGAAGGCCAATACATATTTCTCTTTAACTGGAGAGTACAGTCTTATATATGGTACAAATAAACTTCCTGGTTTATAAGTTGTAGATCGAGACTTTCCAGATATGTAGTATATTATCTGATTTTCCAAAAGACGTGAATTTGCTTTCATTCTCTGGCAATGCTGAGTGTTCAATGGGTGACATACTCAACACCATATCACCATCAACTACCATGATTTGTATTAAAAAAGAATTGATTCATTACCAATAAATCGTCTACTTTGAGTGCTTTATCACTTCTTTAAAGATTTCATGGTATTTTGCACATGCTCTCTATCTTGTTTGCTTTTATTCTGAGCCCACAGCTGGTCAAGTTTAGATAAGATGCCAGTGACCTTCAGGCAGACAGAATCAAACTAGCAACAGGGAAAGAACCTGTGACGTTGCCCTAACAGCAATTTAGGTCTATCCGGATGCACACTATTGATCACATAGTTCTTTAAAGAGTAAAGAAGCCCGAGGCTGCCACCAGAAAGTGGGATTTGAGATTTACCTTCTACGTGGGTGTACGGCTTCCACTTGTAGTACCATCCTCGGAACCGTTTGCTATTGTACTCGGCACACTGCAGGGCACGGAAGTCGACACTGTTATGGGGACATTTCTGACTGTTGCAAAGCTTCAGAGTTCGCGTGGATCCCCCACAAAACTTCCCTCCATTCGATGGTCTGGAATGTATAGCGTCCAGTTAGAAACCTTGCCTTTGAATAGCCACTCACCCCTCTCTTGAAATGAGGCTTATTAGGGAGATGGAGCAGATAATGTTAAAGATTTAACATAGGAAACTGGTGACCATTAAGTAAAGATACTTACCGTCACCAGTTAAAAGAAGTGCATTCCTAAGAAGGCACTGGCATTTTCTTACATATTAATGATATGGGTAGTATTTTCCTTTTCTATTGAGTCTGCAAATAATTGCAACATTGGTAGAACAGGTTAGAATATGGGAAGTGAGTTTGCACGTATTTTCTCATCTCCCTGTAGGGGGCAGGGTGAGCATCGTTGTTCTCCGAATTCCATAAAGGAGGGGATGACTACAGGAGGGCAGCTGGGAAAAAGCAGAACTGAGACTGAAATTCAACTACTTTGCTGTCCAGATGGCAACTTCTTTCCCCTACCAGCCTCTTTGCGACAAGGCGAGGACACCGGATGGGGACAGAACAAGCACTTGTCTTCCACTGGTTGGAAGAGACAGCAAACACCCCTCTCACCCCTTAGAATTCACGTGGACACACCAGCACGAGAGCACCCTGTCGATGAAGGGGACCAATCAGGTCTCATGCGTTAAAGACAGGACTGAAATAAATCATTTTACTTAGTCTTAACATAAGTTAAACACATATAGGTGCAAAAGGAGAACTGAAAAACCCCTTCATTCCACTGCATTGGTGACTGCTTTTAACATCCTCATCGTCTACAGAAGACACACTGAGACCACATGTTGTGAAGGGAAATATATTTGATGAAAAACCAAGACTTTGGTTTTCTCACATGAAAAGATTGTTCTTACTGATTCTTATCTATTGATTTGGGTTCTCTATACTTATGATTTATCTCCTTATTATAGGCAGAACCTTGGTATTTCATGTAAGCATGGTTAAAATCCAGTTCTTGAATATCACTGTTGGCTCCGTTACTTTTGCTGTGGTCAGGTAGTTATAAGCACCTTAAATTATACCACAGAGACATCGTTGTACAATAAATGCTTGAGTAAAAGGGCTTTCTGACTTAGCATTCTTTTACAGTAATATGGGGAGTACAGAATTACTTTCACTGAGCTTATGTCTACATGCTGTTTGGAAAGTTCGTAGCAGAGAGATGGGTGTTGATGAGGAGGGAGGTCCAGTGCGCTCACCTGGGGTTGGTGCAGAGCCGGTCCCTGTGAGACACCCCTCCTCCGCAGGTCCTGGAGCAAGGAGACCAAGGAGACCAGTCTGACCAGTGGCCGTGGGTGGGCTTGGGGCCTTCGTCACCATATTTCACACACTGCCCTCCGCGGCACCACTGAAAATTAAAAACAAAACAAAACAGTGATATGACTTGTGGGTAGTACATCACTACTGCAATGCTGAGCCGAGGGGAGTTTGGTCACATAGGCAGACATCAGTATCCCTTCCCTCAGGTAGCACATAATAAAAATACATTTGATGCAGCTTCTTTTCTTCTTTCCAGACCTAGCCTTGTTCTATAAATCCACATAAAGGGAAGGCACGGAGCAAAATCATTTTCAAACTTCTGTCTGAACTGCTGGAACCTAACACATGTAGTTAAGTTGTGTTGCAGGAACACTCAGTCCAATTGTTCACCTCTCAGGTGTAGGAGCTCTAACCTTTCCTGGAAACAACGTGCTCTTCACCTCTCACTGTCGGAACAGACTGACTGTCAGGTAGAAAAATCCAGTTGGAGGTTCCATGTGGCTCAACACCTTGTCATTTCTGGCCGGTGCTCTGTGCTTTTGCTCCAAAGCACCTGGGCTGGGAGCCTGGAGGTTATAAGTGATGCATATCAGAGGTCACACAGCTTTCTAAGGACACGAAATAACCCACACAGGGCTCCTCCTGTCCCTACGAGGCTGGAGATGCTATCAGCTCCCCTTTCTCCAGAGAAGTGTTCATAGATGTTAATTCTGCTAAAATCTACATGGTTTCTTCACTTCCACTACATGCAAAAACTACACAAGATCTAGCGTGCATTCAATGGTGTTGGTTTTCCCACTGATGGACCCATTCACTGGGCACAATTGACATTCTGCCAGCAAAGCGTTGTGTAGGAGTCTATAAAAATAATAGTTTCAGAAGAGCAAATCCAACCTGTCAATGTCGATATGATTGCTGAACTGTTTAAGGTTCCTTGCAGTACTTGGTGTCTACTGGATGAACTCTACTTGAGCTGCACAAAGTGCTGGGTTTTAAAGTCACTTGGATAATTCCTCTGTTGTGGTCATAGTTAAGCCAATAACTTGACTTAAAGCCTAAATGGAACCTATTTAGGTTAGATTGTTTCATTTTGCTTGGGATGTTTATGAATTACTTTAATAAAATTTGGTGTAGTTTTGTTTTAAAATTACAGAAAATGTTTATGTTTTTTTTAATTTAGAGTTTATCCTTTTATTTTTTAATATAAGTAATTATATATAGACTGGTATTTCCTTTTCTTTCATAAATGACCCCATATTATCCACATCTTTTTCCATCCTGCTTTTTCATTTAACAATATGTTCTGTAGTTCATTCCACAGAAGAAGATAGACACATCCCTCTTTCCTCTGTTGCAGTTACAAAACGCTCCATTAGGTATATTTCCAACCAGTCCCCTTCTGATGGACATTTGCATCATTTCCAGGCTTTTGCTTTGATAATTATTGCTGCAATTAACAGTCTTACAAATGTATTTTTTTTTGTTTTTGCCAGAGTATCCTTTTTTAAATTGAAGTATAGTTGATTTACAATGTTATGTTAGTTTCAGGTGTACAGCAAAGTGATTCAATTATACTTACATATATATCCATTTTTTTCAGATTATTTTCCCTTATAGGTTATTAAGAAATATTGAGTATAGTTTCATGTGTTATACAGTAGGTCCCTATTGGTTATCTATTTTGCATCCAGTCGTGTGTATATGTTAATCCTAAACTCCTAATTTACACCCCCTTTCCCTTTGTTAACCATAAGTTTGTTTTCTATGTCTGTGGGTCTATTTATGTTTTGTGTATAAGTAAGTTCATCTGTATCATATTTTTAGATTCCACATATAAGCTATATCATATGATATTCATCTTTCTCTGGTTTACTGCACTTGTATGATAATCTCTAGGTCCATTCACATTGCTGCAAATGGCATTATTTCATTCTCTTTTTATGGCTGAGTAGTATTCCATTGTATACATGTGCCACATCTTTATCCATTCATCTCTCGATGGACATTTAGGTGGCTTCCATGTCCTGGCTACCGTGAATAGTGCTGCTATGAACATTGGGGTGCATGTATCTTTTCAAATTATGGTTTTCTCCGGATATATGCCCAGGAGTATCCTTAAGTGACTATCCTTAAAAATTATTTAAGAAAACTTTTTGAGATTCTGAGGAGAAAGCACTACATCTTCTCCCAAGGAGGTTGGGGGGAATGCCTAGGTGCACGTAGACACACAAACACGGACATACATACATACAATTTGAGTCTAATTTCATGCAGGTCACAGACCTGTGGAGCCAGTCAGTGGGGTGGTCGGGGGTAAGACCCTTGTGTGAAATGGACACATAAAATGTCTACTGAAGCACCAGTTGTATTTCTAAGAACAATCCTATGTTTATCACAACTTTACATTTTACCGATGGAGAGTGTGGCTTATGAAAGAGGCTTTATCTTGGACAGTGTGATGTCATGATAAGGCTCACACCCTGTTGTGATACTGTTCAAGGAATCCATTGTTACACTTAAACCCCGTACAGACAGGGCAGCAGCATAACGAGGCACAAGAACGTACACCGTTCTTGAGGTGAAAATGAGCCCCGCGTATCACTTCAACCAGGTGTGTGACCTGGGGCACTGACTCAGGTGCCCTGAGCCTGTCCGTCCTCCTGTGAACATCAGGGATGAGGGAAACCACCAGACTGGCTTGTTCCAAAGACCCAATGCAATGACACAGGCCAAGTGCCTCGGACCATTTGCAATGTAATCACAAAGTGAGAGATGGTTTAATTTTCTACTAGGGATCATTAAAGAACCGGAATTTGCTTCAGCATGCATACAGGCTGTGGTCCTGACCCCTGTTCTGGATTTCTCATGGTATGAGAGCAGAGAAACCGAGTGTCTTTTTCCTGGAAGAGTTCTTTGGTGTACAGTGGGGGGCTGCCCTAGGCTCACCGTCCAGGGTGCCTGTGACAATTCAATGTATATAACGTTCTCAGTACAGTGCTTGCCACTGAAAGATGCACTGACCACTCAGGTTCACCAGCATGCATACCCATGCAGAGCCTCAGCATTGGTAGCTGATGGAGGAAAATAGGTTCCCATCTAGGAGAAAGATGCACAGAAGCAGTACAGTTGTTGTCAGTTATCTACAGCCCATCCATTGTTCTGGAATATTCCAAAGTACTGAGATACTGACTTTTGGTAATGCATGCTTCTCAACCAATAAACCTCATGGACACTTGTGGACCAGTGATACAGGATGACACAACTAACACGAAAGGGGGCTTTTACATGAACTTCTGATGCTTGTCCCAGCATGGCCACTGGGCAGCCATTCACTCCTGGGCAGAACACTCACTGCTGTGTAATTTGTAGGCATCCAGTCCAGCTTAATGTGCTTTAATTCTTTTCAATATGAGGAAACACCAGGAAAAAAATATTTTAAAATACCAATGAAAACCAATTTAATTGCTTTTAAGGTAAATAGAACATAACAAGAATATATGGGTGGCATCACAGCTGTAACTTCATCCAAGGAAAATAGTAGATTTTAAAGAAAGTAGGACACCTGGAGAACCACACCATACCTGTGTGAACCATCACCAAGGCAACAATGGAAGGGCTGCCAATCTTTCCATAAGTAGGCATAATTTGGCAAACTATCAGATTTGCAAAATTTGGTCAGTTTTAGTCAGTTATGTGCAAAGAATCGTGATCACCTGCAGTTAATGTTCAGGTAAATTCCCTGATATCCCGTGACGGTTGGTATTTCCACATTGCAGTACCTAAGCAAATCTATTTTCCCTTTCAAGAAACTAAAAGCATTTTAATTAGACGTTTTTGTTATGGATTAATTTACTGCTGCCTACATCCCTAGAAGGATTTAAACATCAGTCTCACCCTGGGAAAGTCTGAAAATAAAGCATATTAACATGTGTAGGATGAATGGTCACTGGGTGCTATTCTTAAGCAAATTTACTTCATTTCTCTTCATTTCCTCAGTCAGCTTTGCAATAATTCAACCCAAGAGCATTATGTTAGCATTGTGTCCTAATACTTTAAATCCTTTCTCTTTGTATTCACATTTAAATATGTTTATGGTATGATAGGTTTATTTCGGACTTTAAACATTCTGGATCAATGATATTTAGGCATAGATTTCTATTTTGTACTCATTAGCATCACTAAAAAGTTCAGATACATATGGATGAAAATGGTTACAGTGACAATTTGGTTCCAATATATTTCTATCTTTATCAATAGTCTTTTATATTCTGAAAAAAATACAATCACAGTTTAAATCAAAAGGATTAAAAGATTACTCTTGACTGTTAAGATAATTTATTTTTAAGTGTTAATGACAGAATTGTCATTGCCCCCCAGTTAGTAATAAACTTGCTGTCTTATGAATTTCTTCTTTTCCCCACTAGAGCACCTCTCTCATTTTCACAGAAGCAACAATAGGTCAGAAGGATCTATTCCACAGTCTTCAAGCTGATGCTTTGAGGCTTTAACAGAACTGCTGAATGCTGGTTCTTTATTTGATTAAAAGGTAGTCAAGAGTTTAACATTTTCCTTCATTAAACAGATTCAGCCATCACCTGTTGCCTGACATTTATGTCTATTTATTCCAGGCAGCTCATCAATTATATCATTGGAAAAGTATGAAGGGGAGTCCTCTTCATAGAATTAATATAAATTAAACACAATCTTTTGACATGGGTATAGATATGGACATATATATCAGAAGGATGGGCTTAAAAAAATACCAAGGCAAGCAGAGGAAAGATGCATGGTTGAAAGACTGACATCTGAATATGACATATGTACCTAAGATTAGCTTCTTACCCTGTCACGCCCACAAGTTGTGCCTTCTGCTGCTGGCATAAATTTAGTCTCACATTTCCTCCCAATCCGGTGGCACCACAGGGCTTTACAGATATCCTAAAGGAGAAAAAAAAGGTCATTAGTATTACAAATGATCCATACAACTCTGAAAAAATATCACTGAAAAAATTAAGGGAAAAACAACTGATATAAATTGAAAGCTGACATCTACTTAGGAGTAGGTGCATATGATAGAGTGAGGATCTAGAAGACTCATGTTCTAGACTTGCTTCAACTTAATTCTATCCCTGAAGCTCTATTTATTTATATTTATTCATCATACATTTAACAAAATTACACTTTCTAAATTAAAAAGTAAAATATGCTTAATCCAGGCACTGAAGAAAACTGTGAAATATTAAAATTAAAAAACCCAGTAAAACCTAACATTTTATAATTCATCTCCATCCTACCTTTCACTAACTTCTCCTTGTCCATTCCTCTATTGAGCTATCCATTCATCCACCCACCTACTCATCCACCATCCCCAAATCTTCAATGAAGTCCTAGAATATGCCAGTTATCTTACTAGGCAGGAGGTTCCATAAGAAATATGACCAGACCTACTCTCTCAAGAATGGTCTTAGCGGGATAGATTAGCTGTAAATCACCGTGTGGTGCACATGGGAAGAGGTGCCCCTACAAGGGGAAGAACACAGTGCAGGGTGGGCTTGCCAGGAGAAAAGGGCTTTGCCTGGAGGACCCAGGGAAGAAGTCAGAGAAGATGGACATCTGAGCCAACTATTGAGCTCAAGGACAGCACATTCAAGGGAAAAGGAATGAAGGGTTCGTGCAAAGGAAGATGAGAAAGAAGAAAGACGTGTGCAGAGGAGGGAAAGCCCACATGGCTGCTTGTCAATAAAATAAAACAAGATCTGAGATTTATACATAATAAAGGCCTCTCCAAGTATAAGGAATTATTTTTACTTCTATATCCTTTTGAGCCCAAAGGAACATCTTAGTGAAGGGCAGTCAGCAGTGGGACTCATGAAATGATGGGACCTTCAGGAATGCTGGTGGTAGCTTCAACTGCACATGATGGAAACATTTCTTAAATTATCTGCACAACTGTTCTGAACATTTGAACAAGTGCTGCACTATTTCCCAAGTCATTCAATAGCTGCATCTACTGGGGTTTTTGTGTTACAAAGAAAATGCAACACAGCAAAACTTCCACCTAATATTGCTTGAAAGATGGCATTTCACGGCACTTGTGCCTTTATTTTCTGTTTCAGTGATGCTAGAGATGTGCTAACAGGAGACCTTCTGCATTGTGTGAGTGAACTCTTGAAGGGTTTCTCTTTTAATAATCCATATTAATTTTACCTTCATAAAACTAATTCTCAAATCTCCTTTATAAATGTACTTGTTATATATTTAAAAGTTAAGGAATTTGTTAAAGGCACTGCCTTATATTTTTTTCCACTTGTATGTCTCTCACTAATAAGACAGCTTTTCAGAGCATGGACTGTGAAGAAGCAAACTCTCAATGTTTTAATTTTGATATCAACTAATTGCTTTTATTTCAAGGTATTCATAGTAACCTCTTAAGATTACAATCGCTGTACCACTAAACTTCATTTTCTTGGGAGTCCTCCAGAATCATTAAGTGCTACTGGGGCAAATGTGTCACGCTGGTGGTTAGTGCTTTCCTGGCTCTCATGACATCAATTAGCATGCTGTGCTGGGAACCTCTCTTCTTGCCCAGAACGGTGGTTAGAGATCAGAGTCATAAGAGGACCACAAGGCATCCATAAAAGCAGGGGCCTGGGCATCTGTAAGTCTCCAAAGAGACAACTGGGAAGCTCTGTTTGCCTCCTGGGATGACATCGTGACAGAAACCAGGATATAAATAAAGCTCCCTTGAAACCCAAACTTGTGGACCCCGGCTTAATATCTGGGTGGAAATATGGTGGATCAAAGCCAGAATCCAGACAGTGGTGCAGGGTAGGCATACCTGCCCGTGAGTGCTGGTTCAGAGACCTACTGATTTAGGTGGCTGGGTGTGCACACACACAAACAGATGAACACACGGATGGAAGAGTGAATGATAAGTGAATGGTGGATGTGACAGAGATACCTGCTCCTGTTGTTGGGTCAGTGGGGGATGGACACAGTGTTCCAGGTGAGGGTTTGGGCTTCCGAGAAGGTAAGCCTGTCTGGTGTGAATTGGGCATGGCAAACCTGGGCAGGCAGAGTCCCGGTATCCTCCCTGAATGCAACCACCCATCGACTTGTCCTGGGGACTGAATGAAGCGTCATAGGTAGGTAATGTGCCCAACTCAGGGCCTGGCACCTAACAGGCACCAAACTCATGTCAGTGTCCTTTCTCACTTCAAAGGTGTGAGGAGATGTGAGCTCAATCCCAGCCCCCAGCCTGGGTTCATGGCTGTGGCCTGAGGGAGCCAGTGGTACTAAGTCTGGAGGCAGTTTCAGGGATGATGCAAGATGATAAAATAAATGGTGTTTTAAAATGCTAAATTATTTTTATGTATTTGTCACCAATACCTGGAACAGTGTTTAGTACCTGGCTGGCTTTCAATAAATGCTTTCTGAGTTGAATATCTGTTAGTTTGTTTCTATGGAAACCTTGGACAGAATGAGCAGGAACATTTCTAGTGTAAAATGAAATGAATAGTGATCAGTGAATTGTGATCATAAAAGCTTCTAAGATGACTTAAGAGGGTGACATTATGATATGAAAACACTACACCTAGACTACTATTCAAAGGATTTTCATAATATTCTTACATTGTAGTCTGGGGGAACATTTTGCAGAATAAAGAAATATGAATGGAAGATACTATTGAAGGCAATAGTTTTTAAGTTTTCTAAGTAAGAAGCTCTCAAGTATAGGATGCTGGTGACAGCTCACCACTAAAGCATGTGACTGTAACTCAGTCTGTGCCCAGCTTATGCCATCTGTGTATTTCAGCCTCATTCTGGAAGCTGCTCAATTCCCAATTCCAGGCCTCCAGGCAGAAATAAATCAGAGTTACAAGAGCCTTGAAATATATAATTCATGTTACTGTGTTCCAACATGTCAAAAAGGATTTGAGACCTTGGTGCCCTATAGATGTAACTGCTGGTCATTTAATAAAAATGTGACATTCCATCCTGGAAAACAAATAAAAATTCTAGTACCTCAAACAATGTTTATTTTATTATATAAACAACCAAAAACCAATTACTTCCTCTCAGTTTTATCACACTTTGACCTAACTGCTAACTTCTGGACATAATGTACAATGGTTGTATTAAATTCTGCTTTATGGTTGTAGGTCATTACGTTCTTAAAAAAACTTCAGGGTCCTCTTGGAACAATGACCCTATTAAATCATGGTTCTAGGGCCAAGAAGTTGGAATGCAATACCTGCTGGATTGGAGGGTGGGTTCCCAATTTACCAACAGTACCCAGGACACAAAGGTGATCAAATTTCAAAGTAATTCTGGCAACTTGCATCTCAGACTGCAGGGTCAGGCCACCAAACAATGTTGACGAAGCAGAATAGGAACTTGATAAAGACACAATGTTTAAAATAACTAATACTTGACTTAAGAAGAAGAAAGTTGAGGACCACGTACAGAGTTCATGCTTGCTTTTATCTTTGCTGTTAAGGAATACTGTACTCTCTTTAATGAAGGCTCTCTCACTTGCTCTTCCTTCCCATAATTTAAGAGCTACGTTCACAATGACTTATTTTGATAATACTGACTTAGTTAAGTTTAACATCGCAACCTAATACCCCAAATAAAACAAACATTTTCAGATGACTGTGTTGGATTTATTGTGGCATTTCCATACTGTGAATAGAATGCCACCAGATTAGTTTTCTCAAACTGTCAGTATCAGACTTTCCAAAAATACAAACTAAAAATGCATATACAAATGATGTTATAATAGGATATATAATTTATTGTAATTATTTGTTTTTCAAGCAGTGGTGTGCTTTTATCACTAATTTTGATTATCAACAAGTCATCAGTGGACAGAGAAAGCCATGGCCATATATGTGTGTGGATTTATAAACAAGTATGTAAACACCCACACATATACACCAAATACACATCTATTTATCCAAAAGAAGAATGCATATGCATTCGCGTTATCTCTTAACTTTCCAAACTAAATGGCACGTGGTACTTAAAAAAGGTTCAACCTGTCTAAAACATCATCCATCCATCTATCACCCTTCCCAGCAAAGTCTTACTGAATGGGCCATAAGTGCCAAGTACTGGTTGAGGCATTGGGTAGTTTCCTTGTTATTTATTATTTTATATTCTTCAGTCAGAAAAGGGAATAAGCTCACAATATTGACTTTAATGGGTATTTTTCAAAAGGTATTTTCTCTACTGTTCATGGTGAAGTAACTGGTACCACACTTACTTTTCTACATGCAAAAACTATAAAACTGGACAAAATGTATTGGCCAGTTGTTTCAGACTCTTGCAACAAGCAACACAGTACATGGTCCTCAAGAGAAGGGAATTTGTAAGGTGGGCATCACCTTTGCCCAGCTCTCTCTCTGGGAACACTTTGCTGACCACGGTGCAAAGACATGGTTCCCATGAAGACAACAGCAGTCTCACTGAATGGAGGGTGCATAGATCAGAGTTGGGGCTGCAGAAGTAGCTAGAATTTGTGGGAATGGAACCAGAAAGGAGAAAGCTGCATTGAGTAGGGAGCACCAGAGGTCTCCATGAGGATTTCCTGCAGGTCCTTATCTGGTGAGTGAATGGTTGATGCACAGGATGAGACTCCAAGTGGCCTGGAAGAGGGCAACAGCTTTAGGCCGAAAGCTGATAAGGGCTAGAAGACAGAGATGCACAATGCTAGGAGACAGCAGTGTTCTGGCCACATAAAGTGGAGAGACTTCAGTAAGCATCCCGGGCGCCCATGTCTCATGAGTAAGAACCACAAACTAGAGTACAGGCCATGCCCTAGGGCTAAGGAAAAACCAGAAATGATGAGCCCTAAGGAAGAGTAAAACAAACCTCAGGGGATCAAAAGGATTCACCTATTATAATAACATAATATAAATACATGCAACATAAAATAACAATATGTTACAATATATAATTGTAACATATGTAATATGTTATAAATATATTTAAAAAATGGACATCATAAGTGAACAAATGGGACATTCCCTAAAAAAAATATAGACTATAAAAAAAGAACCAAATAGTAATTCTGGAACTGAAACTTAAGATAACCCAAATGCATAGCTTGCTGAATTGTCTAAACAAATGATTAGAGATGTTAGAAGAAAGATACAAATGATCACAAACATTTTATCAGAAACAGCTGAGTCCAGATGAAAATGGAATTATATCTTTAAAGTGTCTAAAGGAAAAAAAAAGAATAAACTATTTAGAATTCTGTACTCAGAAAAAGTGTTCTTCAAAACTGAGGGTGAGTTAATGACATTTTCAGATAGAGAAAACCTGACGTACTTTGTGGCCACAGATTGTGTTACAAGAAATGTTAAAGGAAGTTTCTCATCCCCTAAGGAAATGATATAATTTGAAACTGATCTGTAAGAAAGCATAAATAATAAATGGCAAACATGTGGGTAAATATAAAAGATGACCCTATTTTATTTTAAAGCAACCCATTATTTTAAAACAAAAATTTTAATATTGTGTTGTGTGGTTTACAGCATGCATAGAAATAAAATACATGATGACAATAGTACATACTGTGAAAGAGGGATACATGGACTTATTTGTCGTAAGGATCCTCCTGCATTTTGCATAAAGTGATATGATGCTAATTCTATGTAGGTTGTAAATTAAAGATGCAGCTGTAATCTCTAGAGTAACCACTAAAAATACAAGAAAATATAGCTAAAAAGCAAATTGATGCAAACATAGAATTTTTAAAAACATGTTTAATCCAAAAGAAAACAAACAAAAAGGAAGAGAACAATAGGAAACAAATAGCAAAATGGTAGACTTAAATCCACTATGTCAATAATTACATTAAATATAAATGGATTAAACATCTCAGTGGAAGGCTATAGATTGTTCAACTGGATAGAAAAGCAATGCCAAACTAAAGGATGTTATGACAGACATGTTTTATATAAAAACACAGAGAAATGGAAAGTAAAAGGGTGGGGAAAGATATCATGCAAAGAGTATTCCTAAATAAGCTGATGTAGCTATATTAACATAAGATGAAGTACAATTCAAGGGAAAGTAACATTATCAACAATAAAATAAAGTTATTGTATATTAATGAGAGAGTCAGGAAGACATAAAATTCCTAAATGTGTATGCACCTAAATACCCAGCTTCAAAATATACAAAGCAAAAACTAATAGAACTAATGGGAGAAATAGAAATATACATAATCTTTGTTAGAGACTTTAACACTCATATCTATTAAATTATTAAATTGTTACATAACAAGTACCAAATATTGCAGAGGATATAGAAGCTATAAACAATATTATCAGACAAATTAACAAACTAGATATATCTAGAACTCTATACCTGACCACTGCAGAATTCACAATTCCTTCAAGTGGCCATAGAATGTTCACTAGGGTAGACCAAATGCTGAGCTATGAAATATGTTTCAATAAATTTCAAAAGTATGCTTATAGGGTATATTCCCTGATAAAATTGAACAAAATTAGAAATCAAAATTAATAAGCTGTCTAGAAAATCACCAATTATTTGGTAGTTAAATAGTATACTCCTAAATAATGCATGGGTTAAAGAAGAAATCACCACTTAAATTAGAAAATATTTCATAGCTAATAATATTAAAGATTCAACATCTAAAAATGTTCAGGATATATGTTAACAATGCTGCTGAGAAAAGAAATTACTAGCTTTAATTATATTTAAATGGTTATATTAGAAAAGAAGAAAATTTTAAGTAAGTGATCCAAGTTTATCCCATAAACAGCAAGGAAAAGAAAGTCACATTAAGCCTTAGTATGTTATAAAGACAAAACAGACATTAATGAAATAGAAAAGAATCCAACAAATATTTCCATTAAAAATTAATAAAGATAAATACTGATGTTTTGAAAGGACTATTCATCTGATAAACTTCTAGTTAGATTGACCAAGAAAAAGAGATAAAGAAACACATGTTATCATTATTAGGAATGGAAGAAGAAATGTCACTATAGACCTTTCAGTCATTCAAGGGATAAATGAGAATATTACGAACAAATTTTGGTAACCCACCCCCCCCAAAAAAAAACAGGTAAAACAAACAAAAAAAATCATTGGAAAAGGACTCTTTCTGTGTCATTTTTTGATGTTTAATTTTTTTTTCCAATGAATCTGATCAGTCTAGCTAGGAATTTCTTCTGCATAACCCTACATGTGTTAGTGTAGTTGAATTAATGATTATAAAAACCTTCCCACAGATAGGATTCACTGGTAAGTTCTAATAAGACTTTAAGGAAGAAACAATAGCAATTTTATTACAAGCTCTTGAAGAAAGCAAAGGAGTAGGGAGCACTTTCAAATCATTTTTTGAGGGCAGCATAACGCTGATATAAATTCTTGAATGGTAATTTTAAGAAAAAAATTTTCTAAATTATAGTATTCAAGAACACAGATATAGGACTTACTGGTAGACACAGTGGCTGAGAATCTGCCTGCCAATGCAGGGGACACGGGTTCGAGCCCTGGCCTGGGAAGATCCCACATGCCGCGGAGCAACTGGGCCCATGAGCCACAACTACTGAGCCTGCGCATCTGGAGCCTGTGCTCCACAACTAGAGAGGCCGCGACAGTGAGAGGCCCACGCACCGCGATGAAGAGTGGTCCCCGCTCGCCACAACTAGAAAAAGCCCTCGCACAGAAACGGAGACCCAACACAGCCAAAAATAAATAAATTAATAAATACATTAATTAATTAAAAAAAAGAACACAGATATAAAAATCCTGAACAAAATATTCTCAAATCAAATCAACAAAATATAAAAATGAATAATAGATTATGACCAAGTAAAGCTATCCTAGGAATATAGGTTGGTGTAACATTCAAAAATCAATGAAAAATAATTTAAAACCCATCAGTACAATTCACTACATTAACAGAATAAAGGAGAAAAATACATTTATATCAATAGATGCAGAAAAAAAAAGTATTATAAAAGTCAGCATAAGTTTGTGATAAAATCTCTTACCAATATAGGACCAGGAGGGAACTTTTTCAACTTGATAATAGGTAACTATGTAAAACTGAAAGCATCATATTTAATGGCAAAATGTGAAACTTTACTTGGCAATTATGAAGTTCCAGAATAAGCAATGTGAAAGTACAGTGACAGAAATCAGAACAATGGTTGCTTACTGGGGTAGGAAGGGGATTGAATGGAAAGGGGCAAAAGGGAACATTCTAGATTTATGCTGGTAACATGGGGGAATACATTTGTTAAAACCCAATTGTACACCTATAAGAAATACATTTCCCTGAAGGTAAATATTTCCTCAGTAATAAAAAGACCTGCTGCATTTAACTTCTTATTTCCTGTATTTTCCAAACGGCACTAGTTTACCACGGAGGATACTCCATGGTCACAGCAAAATAATGTGAAAACCAGCAGTATGATGTAGAACATTCCATCTTTGAAAGAAAAATTTTATGCTCCTTTTCCTTAGCAAACAGGAGAGTGACATGCAAAAAATTCTCAGGGATTTCACATATTCCGCCAATGAAAAAGCAACATTGGGAATATATGCTGATGCTGACTGGTTTATTATTCTTGTTCCCAGCTGAGATTACCCAGCTGAGGAGATAAGAATCCAGTTCTGGCACACGGCTGTAATTGACTTTTGGGGGGAGATCTACTTTAGTTTAGAAGAAAGAAGATTATCACATTAGATTGAAATTGGGAATATTCCCAGTGCATTCTGAAATGTTGGAGGTTTCTGGAAGACTATATATTTTTGTCTATTTTCCTCTTGATTTCCTTATAAACTAGAATAAAAGAAACCTCAAAAATAGTTAATTTCTTTTAATTTATGGGTAGCTTTCCTAGTGGTTTAGTAGGGCAAGCTGTGAAATCTCGATTTTCCCTTGTCTAGCGAGAGCACATGTCTCTGTGTTATATGAGGAATTTATATGAGGAAACCAGTCTTCTGGTGTCCCTGGGGTCAATGGAGTTCTATGAAAGACTTCTCTAGAAACACTTAATTTGAGGAATTTAATAATCAGAAGTCTGAGATAGGCTACTGCTTTCTAGTAAATTTTGTCTATATCTGAGGAAGGTAAGGGGGGTGGGGGGACGTTGTTTCTTAAATACCATTTGAAAGGAATGCAGTGTATTAATTTGCCATCTTACACCAACCAAGATTTCCTGCTGGGCTCCCACATGATAAATCAGAAAGAAAGAACTGACCCAACAGGCCAAGTCAGTACTTGAGAGGAAACTGATCCCCACAACAGTATCCACTGTCATTTTCTTTGCCAGTAAAACATGTGTTTCCTGTTATATAGTACCAGCCCTAACATACAGGATTTGACATTTGGTAGGTACCCAATAAACGCAGAATACATCAATGTCAGCTTCACTGAATAAAACGGTTTTATGAAGAATTCTACATTGAACATCTGCCAACAGTCACTTGCCTTTTTAAAATCCAGCATGCAGAGCTTGGCTTTCTCTCCAAATTGCCACTTGCACTGTGTGTTTGCATCATATAACTCTCCCGGCAGCTTCTCAGGATACTTGTATTCCTTCACAGGCTTTGGCTGATCCGCAAGGCATGTAGCTTGGGCAGTGCTAAAACAAAGAGGAACTGCTGGTGATGCCGGAAATTACCAAAGATGTAACTTCAATCACGTAATTCAATGATTGAATTACATGTAATTACACGTAATTCAATCATGCCTTTCCTTTCTCATGCAATTTTACCACATGTCTTGTATAAAGAAGAGGGGACATTTTTCTCCTGAGGTCCAATATAACATTTATCTTAATTCTCTTAAAAGATAGAGGCCACATTTTCTGAAATTGTTCATAATATGTTTCACCTTTTCCAGGGAGGCAATTTGTTCTTCATCGGATTTCTGAAACCTATCATGGGGAGAGTGAAATGGGATAATACAACCAGATGTTTGATGTGAGGAGCTTCTATAACAGACACCTTAAAAAGTACACTTCTTGCCAGGAACAATAAAAAGATGAAATGGGCACTGTAAACAGCAAAACACAATCAGCCAATTTCAAAGGCTGGAATTTTCTTTCTTTCTTCTGTCCTTCCTTCCTTTCCTGCACAATAGCTTCCAGCTTCCACATGGAGCATTGCAATGATTTCCACCAGAAATGCTCTATACGCAGGCTGATTTCTGACTAGATTCCAAAGTCAAGAAGAAAATTAATTCTCCTTAAGTTCCCTAGAAGATGGGCTAAAGGCCAACTAAAGATTTCTTCCTCTACAAATAGGGTATCCTCTTCCCTACCAGAGACAGGCTTTGGTATAAATTTTGCATTTGGAGGGAGGGGAAACAAGTGTTTGCAAATAGCAACTAAATATTATTTATAAATTTCAATAAGCAAAAACTAAAAACAAACAAAAACAAAACACCTCTGTAATCACAATAAGCTTAACAACAGTAGATCTGCCTAAGCATCCCCAAACTTTTCTTTGTGTGGTTGTCCACCTTGATCAGAATCTTTCTGGCCCCAGTCTCCAGGACCCAGGTCCCAGATTCTATTGCCTTGGAGCCCACTGATGCATGTGTGCCCTTAATTAATATCCACATACATAAAACATGAGGAAGGGCACCAGTCACTGTGGACAGGACATTAAACATACATGCAAGGAGGTCACAAGCCTTTTAAAAGATTAAATCAAAGGCTAGGAAAGTGCTAAGAACAGTGACTTGCTCACTGTGAGTGTTGAATAGATGATCTTTCTATTACTGCTACGATGATCATGATGTAAGGGTCTATAAGTAGAGAAAAATGAATAAAAGCATAACTAACACTCCATGACAGGAGTGATTTGGCAACTTTGGAATTCCATAGCACCTCTCTCTAATGATCTCAAATGATTCCTATATATTAGTTAGATGTTCCCCATTATCTCCCTAAAGTTACGTCAGGGTTGGCAATACTATTCCCATTGCATAGAAAGGAAACTAGGAAAAGTCAGCTACATTGATGAACCCAAGCAAGAGATTGAAAAAAAAAAAACTTTTTAAAGTTCACAGATTCAGGATTTTTTTATAGTTTGATCAAATGTAACCTATTATTTTTTATTCATCCTTAAAATTTAATTCAAAGAGGAAGAATATATTCATGGCTCTGGGGTAAGCAGAGTTTTTTTCCAGTGGTGTACCGAAAGTGCTAATCCTAAAGGAAAAATATGAATAATTTGGACTCCCTTAAAAACATAAGAAAACTCTTCTGTTTATCAAAAGACACCACTAAAAGTGTAAATACTGTGTAAATACTAAGTCATAGAGTGAAAGAAGATATTTGCAATACATATTTCCAGTAATGCACAAAGTGTTCCTACTCAATATATATAAAGTACTCCCAACAAGAGATAAGAAAAATAAAGGAGTTTAATTTCAAAAACATGTGCAGGAGATTTGAACAGACACTTCACTAAAGAGGTTTTTAAAGTAGCCTTTAAAATGTGAAAAGGTGTTCAATCTCATTAATTACCACTTTGATCCACCACCACAGACCCACAAGATTGGCCACAATGAAAAAGACCAGCGAGATCAAGTGTCGGCAAGATTGTGGAACCATCTGAATATTCATAAGTGCTTGTGGGATTGTAGCTTTGCACAGCCACTTAGGAAAGCTATTTGGCAGTGTCTACTGACACTGTACATATATATTTATGACCCCAAAGTTTCTCTGCTCTGTGTACTCACAGATATATGTGTAAGCCAAAAGAATATTTACAGTGACATTTCTTATAATAGTCAAATACTGGAAATGCAAATGTCTATCACTAACAGGGTGGATTAATAAGTTGGAGCATATCCACGCAATTAAAAATAAGTAAATGAATATCATATTTTTATGCAGAAACAAGGATGAATCTCAAAATCAAAATATTTAGCTAAAGACCCCAGGCACAAAATAGCACATAACTCATGACTCCATTCATAGTAAGTTCAAAACCAGACAAAACTGTCTACGGTGGCGTCTGTGTCAGAGGAATGGTTGTCTGTGGGGAAGAGGGAGGTGATGACGGCATTGGGGAAGGGTATTCTGGGGGGGAGAGTGGTGTTCCATGTTTTTTTTAGGTTCGTTAACACATCCATCCCTTCACAAAGTTAGAACTTTTATTTGGTAGTGGGAACTTTTCAGATCTGCTCTCTCAGTAAACTTCAACTATAAAATACAGTATTGTTGACTGTAGTCACTATGCTGTACATGACAGTCCCAGAAACTCATTCACCTCATCTTTAGAAGTTTGACCACTTTCACCCATTACCTCTCTCCCACTCACCTGGCCCTTGGAAACTACCAATCTACTCTCTGTTTCTAAGAGTTTGATTTTCTTTTTAACATTCCACATATAATTGAGATCATGCAGTATTTGTCTTTCTCTGACTTATCTCACTCAGCATAATGCCCTCAAAAACCATCCATGTTGTCACAAATGACAGAATTTCCTTCTTTCTCATGGTTGAATGATATTACAGTGTGTGTGTAGATAGGTAGACAGGTAGATAGATAGATATAATTAGATACAGCGCATATACACATATAAATACCACATATACATCATATATCTCACACCTTCTTTACTCTTTCATCCATTGAAGGACACTTAGGCTGTTTCCATGACTTGGCTACTGTAACGTGCTCCATATCATGATCTAGGTAGAAGTTACAGTAAAATGTTCACTGTGTGAAAAGTTACTGAGTTATATGCTCATAATTTTGTACTTTTCTATATATGTGTTTAACTACATTTACAATGTCAATGAAGGAAATAAGGCAAGGCCAGAGGTTCTGCAACAATATTTCAAAGTCCTCTTCCCACTCTGATTCATGAACCATAAAACGTTAAAGAGCTCGAGAGTTCTTTTACTTGTATCCCCCCTTTTTCCAAGAGAGACAATGGGTTATAGGCTATATTAGCTGCCAAGGTCAAGGCCTTCCCCGGCATAGTGATGAAGACCTGATTGGCACATGAGCTCTGATTCCCTTGCTGATCAACGACACGGCAGTGCCCATTCTCCATTCTCACAGAAACTGCACTCAGCCATGACTCGCTGTTTTATTTTTCTTAAGACGAATATTATACAGCAGAGCAAGATGTGAACTGAAATGTATTATTTCTATTATGCCCCAAAACATACTCTTTCAGGCCAAATCAAGTTTTCCCATCGACAGGGTGGTCTGGGGTATGGCAGGGCATCCCTCAAATTCCTGCTTTCCTATGATGACCTTTCTTATGTATGGATGCAGATTCGTATGAAAAGCGGGGAGGTGTGCTCACTGATCAGAAGTGCATGATTCAAGTTTTTAAAAAGCAAGTTGAAGATGAGTCCATGTTGTCATTAAGTTTAAAATAACGAGCTAAAATTTCCCTAAGTCTTAGGCCTCCCGGATACAGACATGAGTGAATGTGATGAGGTCTGTGTCTGCCCATAGGAAATGACGTATGTCTTTATTGATGAGGTTGAGGAATTTACTGCAAAAACATATCTGTCCTTCTTGACTCTACCGAGTATAGAGAGAAGTTGTGCTGACAACTTCAGGCTAATTGAGTTCCCTTATTATATATATTTTTTCCGTGTACCCAATGCTAGGCTGATCATAAAGGAGAACAGATTCATCTTTGTAAAGTTGGCCGTTTATCCTTACTCACTGTTGGGATCATGTCCAAAATGCCAACTAATTGGTGGAGAATATAACAATATTTTGATTACTTACAAATCAGGAAGTCAGCAAACATATAAAAGATGGTCTCAGGTTCATTAAGCCAATGAAAAATCAGGATTGATGCACTGGGGACACGTCCAATTCACAACTAGACATCTCAAGTACAATTAATCTTAAGAGTGAATTTGACAAGGAAAGGCTATCTTGGAAAATTTAATCTTTTGAGAAATCAAATTTGGGAGCATGTAAAATCTTGCATTTTTATTATTATGTGGTCTAAAAAAATCAGTAAAGTCCCTGTAAATAAATGTTTGTTACTGCATGGCTACAGAAGGGTTTTACTGATTGGCACAAAAACAAATGAGCATACTTCAGCATATGTTTAACCATTCCAGTATCACTGGACAAAATGTCTTTGAACTCCAGAATCTCAATAAGTATTCTCAGGATATTATTCTGATTTGAAGATTACAGCCCATATTTAATGTCATCAAAATAATTATTCTCTAAGCCTATAACTATTTCCTTTCTGTGAGTTTTCCTATATGTCTTGGCAGTTTAAAAACTTTTTCTGGACTCTTTCATGATGCTGATTCTCACTGCATGCCCATACTTTGCATCCCTGGGATTTTCAAGTTGTCAGAGCATATTTCAAAAAATTTAAAAATGTTTATATATCTTCATCATAGCCATTAAGATGAAAAAGAAGTAAAATTTTAAGAAAAGAATGTAGAAGTTTATAGAAAGGATTTGGGATATAGAAAACTCAAAAATTTCCTTGTTAATACAAATAAGAGCATTGTGAGCTAAAGTGAATTATCTTCTTTATTAGGGAAAGCAGAGTCCTTCACACACACAAAGACACACACACACACACACACACATACACACACACACATTTGAACAGGTGCATGAAAAAGCTAAAACAAGCGCTAACAATCCCCAACTTGACTCCAAGAGAACACCATACAGGGAACAGCAAATGTTGGAAGGACCGATTGTGTCATGTGAACATTGTCTTTTGGGTAATAGAAATTAAAAAAATGATCAAGTGTATATTCCTAGAATATAGGTTTATATTACCAGGGTACAGATATTATCTACAAAATTCTCACTCTTCCTGGGTAGCACAAAATATGGAAGGCAGTCATCATTCCTTTAAGTGGTAAAATATCTCAGTTGAGGTCTCAAAGAAAGGCTGTGAGGAAGGACCACAGCTGCAGGCTGGAGCCCCCAAGGCTGGTAGTCAGGACGCAGCTCAGAAGATGTGTTATGAGGTCTGGAGGTGATGGAAGAGGCAGCAAGAAAGAGAAACCAGCTGTGCACTCACTGCCCCAGGTGAGCACAGGGAACCATCCATAGGATAATGAACAGAACGTGGTGAGTAAAACCAACAGAAATAGGGCTGAGACCCTGCCCAAATGATGTTCTAGAAACAAGATGGGTTAATTTGTGCAGCAGAAAAAAAAAGAAGAGGGGCTCTACTGAAAAAATAAGAAAGAAAGAGAGGAAACCAGGGGGATAATCCACTTTACTAGCAGATCTAAAAATGTTTCTTAAAGTCCCTTATTTCTCTAAAATTTTAAAATCTACTGACTATCTCTTTTTCAGGGGGTCAAACTGTACCTCCTTAATGTTCTATACCCTAAATGAATTAGAGCTATGATGAAACCTTCCAGAAATAATTCTTAAAATTATAGGATTTTAGACCCAGGTGAAGGTTTATATACTCTTTTTTTTTTTTTCCTCCTAATGAGAAATGTATTTTGTAAAAAAACATAATAATAATTCATGGTATGTCAATTATATCTCAATAAAACTACAAGAAAATATTTAAACATTAAAAAATTTAAAAAAATCATGGACTGAAAATGTCTGGTTATAGAAGTAAGAATTAAAAAAAAAACAAAACAAATGGTAGTGACAAATACTTTGGTTTGCTAAGTATCTTAAGGGATTCTTTTGACTCTAAAGGGCAAATGAGGTCAGATTAAGCTTGCAGAAATTGAGGCTCTAAGAAAGTGTTTGGCAAACTCCTTGGTCACATGAATGTCTCCAGATGCCTTTAAATGGGGACCACCTGTGGAAGGGGCACCTGGGTCTGGGGCTTCTTGGACAGGATTAGGCTGACCCAGCAGTGAACATCAAAGGCACAGAGAGATACACAACCAGCTTTAGGGGTTCATACCTTAAAAATTTGTGCAGGTACTGGCGGCTGCAGGGTGACCAGGAGAACACCCCGTTGCGTCCTGCCAACGTAGGGGACATTATGTTGCCCTCTGACTTTTTGCACACGTTCCCTTCTCCATCATGGACCATGCCGAAGCTATGAGAGAGAGAAAGAAATGGGTCTTTCAAAACAAATAACAGTTTCAACTGTCTAACACACTCTAACAAACACAAGTCAACAATGTGAAGGCCCCCCTTCTCCTGTATGCTAGGCAGGCAGAAGAAAGAGTCCTAACAGCCAAACAGGAGAGAATATCCATGAGGTCACAGACCTTTCCTGGAGACCTACCATTTGTCCAGCTGTTTGAAAGTGCACACCAACATCAAAACAGAGCACATGTCCAGATGTCTGCCAAAGGCAGACATTTTAATTATAAAAAAGCATTTCCAGTGGGATGTAGAGGCAGTTTATTTGATCTTGAAAGAGCTGATGTGTTCTTATTGCTTTCTTCTCTCTCTACACTCTTTGCTGCTCACCAGCCATGGTCAGAATTTCCAGGTGTTTGTAAGAAACACAAATGCAGGCTCCACAGGGGAGTGTGATGTTTACACAATTTAAGAACTACTAAACCACTACCGCCCCTCTTGGTGGTGCTGACATTTTGTCCCTACACCCAGTGCTGATCCAGCTTATGCTAGGTCTTCACTGCTGGAGGCTGTGACAGAAGGCCAGTACTTGACCAGACTCCCTACATCCCTTTGGAGGAAGTGGCGCCATAGAACTCCAGTGAGTAGCTGTGGTGGCGTTTATCTGCAGGCGTTGTTTGAAGGTACGTCTGTTACCCTTGGCTGAAACCAGACCACTTTGGGGCTCCAGCCCTAGCTTAGTATATGGGAACACCTCAGGCTACAGTGGCTATAGGACCTCTTAATAGGGTCCTTTGCAGATGTTCAAATCCCACAATGCCAACAGCAACCCCTTACTGTCACTCGAGAAAACTGCAGCCTTGCGCCTATAAGAATCCCATTGACTGAGTTGCTACCTCTCCCCACCAAGTACGCTCTTCTTCTTAACTTTCTAAAGCTAGCCCTGTGGGATAGCCTCATGTTACCATCTTCACCCACCTCAGAAGAGCACAACTGACTACCTTGGGAAGAAAGCCTCAGGGATTTGGGAGCTCCGTGACCTTGAAGACTTCCCATTAGGGTAGATACATCCTTGGAGAGTCAAGCCATTTTTGGCCATTAATGTCTGGTACCCACCCGATCACTGTATGGATTCCCAGAGAGCAGTTCTGAATGAGTGGGATACAGAAGGCAGGGGAAAAGCAAGAGGGGAGAAAGCAAAGAAGGACAGGTGGGTTACTGCATCTGTGGGCTTTCTGCCACCAAGAATCCCAGGATGAATGGAGGGAGGGTCACAGGGATAGGAGACACCAACACAGGGGAAGTGGACTCCAAAAGGGGGCCAGGGAATCTGCACTTGTGTCCGAGGCTGAAGACTTAACTGTTTTTTCTTAGAGCTGTTTAATAATATCAGTAAAAATGACAACTCCCATTTGTAAGCACTATTTTTCAGACAAGATATTAAGCACATTACCTATATTTTCTAACCCGAATCTTACTACAAGCCTACAAGCCTACAATGACAACAAGACTAAGGGCTGGAGACAGGCTTGTCCAGGGTCTCAGAGTCCCGACTGGAACCCGACACTGACGTCAGAGACCAGGCGGGACCCCTGCAATAGTGTAACCGGAGCGTGATTGAAAGGTGTGTCCAAGGAAATCTGGCACACAAACATTGTCGAATTTCTGCAGAATTCCTGCTCAGTACCAAGGGTGACGTAGTTGTGGTCATTTCGGCCTCCACCCATTCTCTGAAGTTCTATTAGAAGCAATCAATGAAGGTGAGGGTAACCACATGGCCGGAGAAATGTGCCACGGTGATGAAGAGGATTCACGCAGAGGCTGCTTTGGGGAGAAAGTGATAAAAACGAAATAACAAAGTACCCTCCCCCGGTTGGCCTTTGACCTGAATATAAAGAAGAAAAATTAGGGTCCTGCGAGTGCCCTAGATGAATTTGCTACCACTTCTGCCTACATTTCTAAGGAATTCAAAGCCACAACATCCCAGGTCTGGGGACACCTTGGTCTTAACCATTTTCATCTAAGGCATTTTCAGTGATTCTCAGACTTTTTTGAGTATCAGAATATCTGGGAAATGCACCACACATGTGCCTCCCCAAAGCCCATCCTGTTAGATTTTTGATTTAGTAAGTTGGGGGTTAGGCTCTGGCATTTGGGTGAATCCTAACACAATAACGTGATTCTGATGCCCACCCAAACTTCAGCACTACTATGTCTCGAGTTGCTTTTCCAAGCAGTACAAATCCCATATTCTGCACTGCTGTGGGTGTTAGCACAGTGGCATGAAAATACCATACAATAATCACGGTTGATATTAACATTAATAAAGTCATGGAAGAATGAATAGGACACATTTTGAAGATAAGGTTGGTATTTGACAACTAAGAAATAAAATCACTATTCAAGTTATACATTACCAGACATTTTTTTTTTTGCTTCCATGACTCATAATACTTTATTCAAAGTGGTTATCACCCTACATGTTAAAACAATGCCCTTTTTTCTCTTCCTTATCTACAGGGGCTCTTCTTAACAATGCTCAGAGCCCGAGTACAAGCGGACTCACTAGTCCGTGACAGGTGCTCCACCGATGTTTGTTGAATGAATAAAGAACAACCTTCCAGCTACACCACCAACTCAAATACCCAAATGTAAACATAATTTCAGATTAACTTGGACTTGAGAATTATATTCAGTATCAGATGCTCTTAATGTCTTCTATAGAATTTTCTTGAGTTATTCAATTACATCAGCAAGTATTTCTTTATAACTAATGATATACCCAGAATGATGAACAGCCAAGCTTTTTTAGAGGTTGTACCAATATTTTAAGCTGATCAGACAGCAGTAGGTCAAGGAAAGGAGAAACCCTTCAAAGCAACGATGGGTCAAAGTCATCTGGATGGTAAATCACACCCTGGAGGTGATGATAGCACCACAGGTAGGATCTACTTGTCCAGAGCCTGATGCAGGCTTTTCAAGAAGCAAACCCATCCTCCCCGAGAGACGGGAAGTGGACATGGGGACAGCAGTCATGTGGGACTCTCAGGGCCAGGGCAGGTCAGATAACCTGGGGGAACACAGGCTGTGGAGGCGGGGAAACCTCCATCAGATCTTGATCCTGTCGTTCACAAGTGGGTTGATTTGGGGCAAATTTCTCAAGTCCCTGAGACTCAGTTTCCTCACCTATAAAATGGGATAATAAAACCTTCCTCTTAAACTGTTCAGAATACCTGGCACCATGCATGTCAAAAAGGAAAATTCAAAATGTATCTTTCCCAGATTCAAATGTGGTCTTGATCAAATCTCTCAACATCTAGATGTCAGATATCACTTGCATACATATTTTGTGCGTGTGTGTGTGTGTGTGTGTGTGTGTGTGTGTGTGTGTAGGGGGGTGAGGAGGCAGTTCAGCCAAGGGTCAATGGTTTTCAAATACTTTTTGGACACAGAAACAAACAAAAATCTTGGGAGGAATGACAGTAAATAAAATTGGTAAGAAATGATGCTCCAACCTGCTGGAGCTCCCTAGGGGGCAGTCTGACAATCACCAGACCAGGTGATCTTTAAGCAGCCACTTGCTTTAATATTCTGCAAACCCTTAAAATCACCCAGCACCTCCCTGACCCAGCTGTAGGGGCTCAGGTTGATGACACAGCAGTCATGAATCAGTGAGGTGCACACATCACCAGCAAATGCTTGAAAGGGAGTCTAACATCACCAGCCCAATATGGTTGAGCTGAATGGTATCAGCACACCGACTCTGTTTCTTTCCAGAAGATTTCCCTGATTTTCCTTGCATCTCTTGAAATGCCTACAGCCCTCACTGCTTGACCCCTTGCATGCCATGCCTATCTTATCTTTCTTTAGGCTTTGAAGGGCATGGATCACTAGTCATTTTATAGAACGCTACACAGTGCTTTGCTGGCAGAATGCAAATTGTGCCTGGTGAATGGGTCAGTAAGTAGTGGAAAAGACAGGGGACAGAACGATGGATCATGAATACTCCTGAGCACAGTAAGTATGTTTAATATTGTCTTGATGGTCTGAAATGATCATACAAATTAAGTAGTTAAGCTGACTTTATATACAAGGAATGTTCAGCTCAAACAATGCAACTTAAATTGCACCTGCACGCACCTGCTGAGTTCTCACAGGCTCTACGGGTTTTGCATATGGAAACCCACGTAAGAGGAGATCAGGAGATGCAGCCTGGTCACTGTCAGGCTGCCAGAGAACCACAGGGTATCTAGAATACGAGTCCCAGGGCCCTACCCATCTAATGGCATGACTTCCTTTGGCAAGTGAGAATTTTTCAAATGGATCCATGCCCAGATGGCATACTCTTCAAAATGTGTAGTTGAACCCTTAGTGTGTCTGTGCCAATTCTTCAACACCTGCATCTAGGAAACCACACATCCTGTGACAAATGATTTAATACAAGCAGGAAACTGGCCCTGCACCAGTCCTGGCTCAGTCCCACACACTAAGGGAAAGCACACAACCTCACTTTCAGCTCCAGACCCTCTTTTCCCCTTCCCAACACAGATCCAAACACTGGTTCTTAGCAATTCCTATTTTTAGGTCAGATTCTCCAGTAGAAACCACAAAATGTCTTAGGATAAAAAGAACTGAGCCTCGTAGAAGAAACTAGCTGGGCATGAACTGCATCTTTCTTTGAGTTAAAGGTTAGGAAACCTGTGGCTGAAATGCACAGAGAAGTACTCCTCCACCTTAATAATGTCCTCTGAATGTAAACCAAACTGAAGAAGTAAGATTCATCTGTGAAACAGGATGTTTTACAACTTATAAATATAAAATTATTCTTTTAATTCTTAAGGTACAGGGCTCAGAAATTGACTGCTTAGAGCTCTTTGCCAAGGATAAGAGGAAGGCATGCTGTTTGATCCATGCATTAAACTTATGATTCCTTCTCCAAGTAATAATAGTTCTTAAATGAATAAACTGAATAAAGGTGTTTGTTTTCAATTCACCTGAAATGCACAGAGCTGGGTTGCTGAACCTTCCCTGCTGCGGCCTCTCTCATTTGATGCAGTTGCCACAGCTAAGAATGTGTTAGAAATACGCCCCCTTCAGCTCACCTCTGACCCCTTGCAGCTCCTCCACGCCTCCTGTGCTGAATGTTCAGCCCAGGCTACTTGCCCAGCTAGTGAAGGGAAGATAAGAGGTCATCCCCAGGGGTTTCCAGGCTTAGAGTTACATGTGAAACTACTCCACAAAGAGCACGTATTAGCGTTATTATTACTATCAGTACTATTATGATCACTTATTTTGGCAATTAGCATGTGCTTTTTATGTGCACTCCTCCCACATGTATTTCCTATTTCCTCAATATGATCAGAAGCTATTTCACTGGTGACGTTAAACACTCAGAGCTCTCAGTCCTCCTGACTCTTGTACAATATTCTCTAAGCAGCAGGTGCTGGAGAAGGAGCTGATCATTTCCTGGAGGTCAGTTCTATCAGGAGTGGGGCTTGCCTGCATCCAAATCTAGAGTTCCTTTCCTTCCTCCCACCTATATTCTCACTTGCAAGTAAAAACACTTTTCTCTTGTTTGGAAGAAATTCTTTTTCCATCTACACCCAGCCCTAGTGATGAAAGGAAATATTAATAGTTGACTTCTAAGAAAAAAATAAAAGCAAACACGAATACTTGTTGACTGGAAGACTGAGAGCCTCGTCTTGGATGCACCAGGGGCCTGAATCTCAACTGCTTATCTAATGCTGATTTGTTCAGCCCTTGATGACTTAAATATTTCTTACTTTGATTGTTTAATTAAATTCAGGTATGGTTCAGAGGACAGCAAGAGCCCCATGTCGTTAAAATAATGAGTTTTTTTGAAGTTTTAACTCTAGCAGCCTATTTACAATTATGACTTAACTGAAAGCTTTGTAAAGTGTAGGTGCAATTTTCTAGGCACTGAAAAAGTCAATCATTACCTGTAATGATGAAGGCATCAGTAATGAGATATAAGCTTCATTTTCAGGTCATCAGTTCACACAGAGCCAAAGTCTGCAGGACCTCTGTGAGAGCCCATTAAGAGCAGGCACACATGTGTACAAACACACACACACACACACACACACACAGATGCTTTGAACAGGTTGGGATGACATGAGTGGCCTCAGTACAATTTCTAACAGGGGATGGAGAAATCAACTTTGCAAAGACCAAATCACAAACATTGCCTTCTGCAAGTTTTGTAATTTGCAAATAAAATGAGGATGAAAGTGAAAATAGAAAAGCTGTAATTCCTGGCTGTGAATTTTCTAGGAGAAGCTTCAAGTACAGTTTCAGTCCAGCAGGAAAACACTTGTGTTACCACTGCTGATGCTCATATAAATCAGGGCAATTGCAGGAAATCAGCAAGTGGGCCCCACTGAGAAAAACTTTTTTTTTAATAGATGGAGCCTCGAAGTGAGGCAGCCTATAGATTATTAGACTAAGAAATCTTATTTAAGAATAATAGCCACTATAAATAATGGACAGAAGTGTTTCATTCTACAGGAATAAAGGTAAGCTTCTCACTTAAAAAGATACTCCTAATGACATGCCACCCATTGCTGAGAGCTGCTTGTCCTGCATCGGTGTCTATCCATCTGTGTCAAAGCCCCGGGTTCCCCACTCCCCCTGATGCTGCCCCATTTCACAACTGACAATGGTGGGAACGTGGGGATGTGGGAAGCAAACCAGCTCCCACCAGGCTGCATCTCTTGTCCTCCCTGTACGTCCCAAACCCTGCACACCAGTCAAAACCCATCTCTACAAATTTTGAAAGTGATATAAGAATGCAAACTTGAGAATAGTAAGTTACCAATGGGCGGGCTTGTTACCATCTTCAGTCACGTGGAGTCCTCCCGTAGGAGTTAACCATGGAATGAGATGAGCTCACAGGACCAAGTTCAAAACCCAGGACAAAGGAGCAGAGACAGAAGAGTCTGTAGTCTGTGATTGTATGCACATGTGTGAGCAGGAAGGGAAGAAGGGAGTGAGGAAAGTGCAAACGTGTGTTGCCACAGCTTTAGAATGTGTGTGACGAGACACTCAAATAAAACAGAAGCACCTACGTGAGCATTTCCTACTGGCGTTCTTGCTGCAAATGTGTGAATTCCCCTCACAGGCTTGAGCTACTGCACCAGAATCTCCAGACAATCTTCCAGTCTGCAGAGGACCCCAGGCTCCATCCTCCCAGGGAGATGCACTTACTTGTGTCCAGACTCGTGGGCGATGGTGAAAGCCAGTCCAAGACCTGTATCTTCATTAATCGTACAGCTGCGATATTTACTACACATTCCACTTATGGGTGCAAATCCTACAGGACATAAAGATCAAAAGAACATATAGGAGCAATATTGTAGTAAGATAAAGAAAGAGGGTGTGTCATGTGTGTGTATTTACCTCTGTCCTTTAGAGAAATTTGGTTCTCATTTTGTCAGGTGAAATATGAAACAGGAAACCCTTGGACAATCATATAAAGGGCCCTGAATTATGTGGGTCACATAGCACCCCTGCCTGGAGTGGGCCAAAATTCCAGGCCCCCAGAATGAAAGCAAGTCTTCTGTGTAAACCGCGTTATTTGTACAATTTAGGCCCAGTGAGTTTATCATGTGCAGGGTGGGAACCTCCTGAATTCTAAGTCCTCAGAGGCAGCCCAGGGTCCACCTTGCACTCAGGGCTTTCTGGGAACAAGTAGTCAGGACTAACCTCTATTAAACCAAGTCTTATCTGAATGTTTTTGTAATAAAGACCCTTCTTCCCTAAGATCTTGGGAAGAAATGGAGAATTAGGAAAAAAGGTCAGGAGAGCCTTGTTCAGTAGCATACTGTGCTTTACACTATTTGGAAAAGTATAAAAAACTTGTATCATATTATAAAACACCACCAAGATACACCCAGCCTAATAAACATGTTGAAAATGGCTAAGATTGGGATATTCATAGAGAAATGGAAAAATCAGGGATCCAATATTGTTGTAGTATCTCTACAAATATTCATAAATGTATTATTATTTTTTCATAGAATGAGACACCCTTGAATCTGTTGACCCTATTCTCACCACTGGAAGAAGAAATGGAAGAAATTATTTCTTAAATTAGAAGAGATAGAAGCTCTTGAATCTGTGAGAGACCTTTTCTTGTGAAAGAACTGATTTTGGTGAATAAATGCATACTCTTCTGTTTGGCCACAGTTTATACAGGGAAGGGAGTTTATTCCTTACAATTCCACCCAGCAGCAGCTACAGCTTACAGATTCGGAATGAGGGCAAAAATACTCTATATCCTAGGCCACTGAAGGCACACAGCACACATGTGTTTCTCAAAACCCTGGCAGAGGGTCTTACCAAGAGTATCACAGGGTTCATTCTTCCAGGAACATATGTCCAGGCCGGTTAGTAAGATGGCATGGTCATGGCGAGTCCCATCTTTCCCCATCAATCCAGACTGCCACTGGCAGAAGCTGCTCAAGGTGTGGTCCGCATGATGGCTTATCACTAGCCCTGGCTATGCAGGAGACAGACCAGGAGCCCGAGATAACAGGAAGAAAACATGTTGTCATGCAGTTGTTACTGGCTCTGTCATCACAGAAAACTAGCACTAACTTGGATTCAGCCACACAGGTGGATCTGGATGGCAGAAACTAATTTACCCATTTTATGTGTTAAAATCCAAAGGAGGGTGTCATATATAAAACCTTTACAGACTCAGTGTAGACACTCATGTTTATTTCTCTAGTTCTGTACCAAAACAGTTGGGATGTATTTGCTGACTCTGAACACATTTCAATGACCCAAGAAAGATGACTTCTGTGCATGAAATGTTCACATTCAAAGTCTTTATAAAACACTGAAAAATTATATAAGGCAACAGAATCGTTTATACGAGACTTTGCACATACACAAAAACACACCCAGATGGTGTTGTGTTTATTTCATAACCAAGTTGGGCAAGTAAGATTTCAAATTTGTAACTCTTCTAAGAGTTATTATTACAGTGTTAAATTAAGTCACTTTCCTACAGAGGCACCATGTTTGTGAGAAGAGGCAGCTCAACTGACAAAGCTTTATCTCTAGCAAATAGGCTGGAACTAGAAGGAAACTATACAGATGACATTTCACCTTATCCATATATACCAAGTTCTAATAGATCAGCAGTGAAAGATCAGAGTGAAGACTACCCGAAGTCTTGGTAAATGAAGAACTGGGGGTGGGGGGGGGTGGCAAGGACATCTCCCCAAACTGGCAGGCAGATGAGTTCTTTAAAGCTTATTTATACGTATGATATATTTTTCTAAGGATGGTCAGAGAAAACCAGGTTAAGTACCTCAATTTCAGGACAAGAACTTGTTTAAAGCTTTCATGACCAGAGTGTTGCTTTGAAATTGCGTCTCTCAGTCACTGACTATGTTTTCTCCTTAAATGTTTATTGTGTCTTTCCAGAGAGTCAAATGCACCCAAGCTAAATGCTGTACATCAACCCTGGGACATGCCTTACATTCTTCAGCGGGTGATTTCCAGGAAAACCGCATTAATTAAAGTTAACACAGGTGTACGATCAAATGATAACCTCGCTTATTCTTTGCCGCTTGGATGAGTTCCAAGGTGAAACGTTTTAATACAAAGAATAATTAACCTGTCACCTGAGAAGCCCTGCTAGTTCAGCACCCCCTCTGCAGACACACTCACACAAAAGACAATGGAGTTGTATCCTGCTGACTCTTCAGGCTAGAAGCAGGTCTGCCCGTGCATGCCCCATCTTGCAGGGAAAGAGGGCAGCACCCCAGAAACTGAAAATCTGAAGGCATCTTAAATCTCATAAATGATCTCAGATTTCATCTAAAAATCATTTGTTTCATACACAAGACAACTGTGGCTAACAGGAGACTCTGTGAAGATGTCAGCCCGGGTGAAATTGGACGCAGGGTGCCTGACTAGGACCCAGGGTTTACGCCCCCAGGTCCAATCAATGACCAGCTTGGGGCAAAATACAAGTGAGAGCCCTTTATGGCTAAGACGTCCCCCTTACTTCTGCCACGGAATATTCACACGAGTCCTTATGGTGAGTGGAGGGGTACCTCTGTGTGTTCACACAGGGTTCTGAAATGAAGGCAACAGACAGTCTTATGCCCACTGCTCCCAAGATCCAGCATAATCTGGAGGTTTGTGTGCAATGAGAGGAATGTGCCTGACATCCTAGAATCTCTATAAAAATAAAATCCCGAGACCAAAGGTGGTGAAGGTCAGTCTCAGCAGTTGGGAGACAATAGAGTACAACAATGCACTGCCACACAGTACAATTTAACTTCCGGGCTACAGGACATTGTTAGTCTTCTAGCAAAAGACCAAAGGGCTCACTTCATCTCCATCCTCAAAGCTCACAGTGGCTGAGGACAAGTTTTGCACCTTGCATTCCTAGTGTATTTCCAACAGGGTATTTAAAGTAACTCTTCTATTCCATTTTCTTATTAGCCAGTCAGATGACTATTTCTTACTACTCTTGCACAAAAATCACACACAGAAAAAAACAAATAAGCATTACAGGAACTGACAAGAAACTCATTGCATTAGACACAAAATATTAAAGCATTTTTGTCCCCAAGGGAAAGAGAAGTAAAGAATCCGTAGAACAATTATATTTAGGAAAACAAAGCATTATTTTGAATTTATTTTTCTGGGGGAAAAAAAACTACTGGTTTCAAAGAATACCTGTTCTTCTTCCAGAAGAATCAGACCTACAATGGCAATGTTGATGTTTCCTCCTATTGTTCCATCTTTGAATAAAGCAGACACCTGAAAAGGACAGGTAATCCACATCAGTCCCTATACACGGCACCCTTTCCCCCCAGCCCTTAGCCTGGAGTCCACAGCTGAAGGCCAATCCTGTGTTCTCCAGTGACATAGCAAGGTTAAGTTTCTTACATTGCTAGACACACAGATATGGGAATATCTAACAGCCAATTATACCAATTGTTGGATCCTTACTGTTGGTGCCTGGAAGTAAAATAATGAAGTCTGTGGAGGCAGGTTCCACCTCTTATCAAACACCTCTTATCAGGCCTCCTAGTTGGTAAGTGTCCTCATTAGACATAAGGAGGCTTCTTTTTGTTTCTTTTAATTTATTTTTTAACTCATAGTGATGATACACAGCAGAGCCCTCCTGAAGCTGTCCTAGCAAAATATTCCAGAAGAATAAGAGAAGTTCTTGGGAAAAGACCAAGAGGATACAAGAAAGAGAAGGAAAACAATGTGGAGAGAAGGTGATCAGGGAAGGATATGTGACCATCATTAGGGATGATGGTCACATGTGTAAAAATGAGTGATCCGAGTGGCATATGGGGTGATGAGCGAGGACAAGTCACCAGACATGGGAAGCAGCAGGGAACTAATTTGGCACTGAGGTGTAGAAATGCTGAAAAGCTCTGCAGAATAGAGGCAATGCTTGCACACATCAGAGACCTGCAGTGGGGGCTGTCACAGACCTGCAGTCTGTGTCACCTCCTCCCTCAGTTCCCTGGGAGATCATAAACCACGAGGGTCTGGCCACTAAAAATGAGGACAGTAATAGCAACCACACCACTTCATGGGAAGTTGAAATACATTTAGGGGTACTCTGTTTATAGAGGTAGGACATAAAACATTTTCAAACATTGTCATCACAACTATGTTAAAATACACTTTGATGACCCCATACTTTGTCTTCTGTTATGCAGGTCTCACTTGGGTGGAATGGGGCTTAGACACCTTGCTCCACTCTTCATTAATGACTAAAGCTGCCACAGTCACATCTTCTCTGCAGCAACCTTCTAAAGGGAGTACTGTTCCTTGTTCTTGTCGATAGAAAGATGCATATTCAATATTTGAACACTCCTATCCCTAAAAAGATGGGTATTTCTATACAGCCATCTAAAATCTCACATATAATGCTGATGGGCAGATTTACTGCACTCAGATGTCTCCACATCCTCTTATAGATTTCTGATAAATGAAGACATCAGTAAACTTGAAATATGTTACTGGCTTACAGAGAAAGTCAAATTATTCATCCTCTGAATTTTATTCTCTGAAGGATTGAAAAAGGATCTTCTTATTGGCGCATAGTAAAAGTGAAGGAGTTATCACAGATAAAATATTTCTTGTGTACAAGACATAAACCCACAAATAAAAGTAGGACGCAAAACATACACACACACACACACACACACACACACACCATTAGGTGGAATTACACGCATGACTTCAACAAGAAGGGCATTCCTACCATATTGAGTATTGTCAGTACATAGGTGGTGATGTTTTCATGACCGTGGTTTTGCATCATCTTTTTGTCAACCACCACCAATGTCTCCACATTCAGTTCTTCGTTCCTATGAGACTTCAGAAGGGACCGCTTGTGCCTTATGCACGACTTATACTCATCAGGCAAGATGAAAAGATCTTCCTTGGGAGGCTTGGGCATGTCTACAGGGGGGCGTTCAGAGAGGAAATGAATGTAAAGTTGTCACACAAAACCAGTGGTGGAACTCGTGCTAAAGAAAATGGATTTTAAAAATGAATGTTCATAAAATGAATCATAAAACCCTTAAAACTGTGATGCAAAACATGTGTTAAGGTGGAACACTACATTTAAGTAAAGTGTGCATAGTCTGCATGTCATGGAATTCATTGTTATATTGACTTTTGTATAAATTTGTCCTGATTTAAAGCAAAAAGAAGATCACTTTGGCTCTGAGCTCTTATTATCTAAAAGCATGATGTTCAAAGACTATGAACATAAAGATCTGTTCAACAGGGCTCTGCAAAGGAGTTATTGATAAAACAATGAAACTAATAATTACAAAAAGGAGTGCTGTCTTATACTGTGTTCTTATTTGAAGACTTTTAATGACCTAATAGTTTTTAAAGTTGATTCCCATGTCTAGACACACAACTGGTTTGTCTGTAGTATTTCCAATGGGTTATAAACTGCTCAAAACAGATCCACTTCACTGCAGAACTGAATTTCCTAGAAAGTATTGCAAATATTTATCTAATTTAATGAAAAGACAAAATGTACTGGGTCCTCTTGGAGTAAGCCATTTAAAAATAGTTTTGGGGCTTCCCTGGTGGTGCAGTGGTTGAGAGTCCGCCTGCCGATGCAGGGGACACGGGTTCGTGCCCCGGTCCGGGAAGATCCCACATGCCGCGGAGCGGCTGGGCCCGTGAGCCATGGCCGCTGAGCCTGCGCGTCCGGAACCTGTGCTCCGCAACGGGAGAGGCCACAGCAGTGAGAGGCCCGCATACCGCAAAAAAAAAAAAAGTTTTGTCATTAATAATCAGTAAATTAACATTATGTTAAAAATCACTAGGTTTAGTGGATGCCTGAGAAACTGTGGTTAGAATGGTTTCAGGTGAAAGTAGGCTTCAAAATATCCCCATATTTAGGTGGTACTAATTCAAAGGCTATGCCAGCTCTATTCACGGAACACACTGCTAGAAGATGCTGTTTTGTTTGACTGATTCCCATGTCCGTTGCATTTTACCTCTCTGCTAAAATACTTCCAAACCTAAACGAACCTTTCGGAGGATAACTGTTACACTGGCTAAAGGTTAATAAGCAGTCATCATGCACCATTTACATTGATGCAATTTACACAGATGAGATCCCCACCCTAAGAGATGTCTATGTATAACTCATTCATTCTCTACACCAGCCATGGGTAGGAGTGAGGCCACGAAGGCATGGGAAATGAACGTAACTTTCTCACAATCCCTCCCTAGAAAGTGTTGGAAATGGATTTCAGATCTGGCAGTGTGGTCCCAGGACCCTTAGTCTTAATTCCCATAGGTACAGGGTGCAAATGGACACAGTATAGGAGCATAGCAGCCTCCCAGGCCCCCAGTATTGGAACAGAGGCAGAAGCACCGGGGGGCGGTGATCTTACTAGCCAGGGCTCTGACAAGTCCCTCAAAACAAGTCACCCCCCCCCAATATGGTCCTGCAGCATTTTCCCAAACACGTGAGTCCCAGCTCAAAACCCACCCGTGAAGCCTGCAGCTAGAAGTAGCAAGCTAACTCATGAGTCTGAGGTTCAGAATCACTTTTGATTTTAAGCAAATCAATCTGTTTTTTCTGCCCGTTTCCACAGAGAGATGCCTAAACACACAGAACAATCTCTCATTTTCTGAACTCTACAGAAGAATCTTTGTAGTGTGAACCCCACTGAGACAGAAGACCAGGATTCCTCCAGGGAAGCCCCAAGCCTCATGGACAACATGGAACTGTCCTGCACAAGTAACTGAGTCCTGAGAATTAAATGCTGATCCTGGAGGTGCTGTGTGTCAGTTCTGCTAGATAGGGCCCCCAGTCCCTCAGGAACTGCCACCTACCCAGCAGGAGGGGACAGAAACGGTGGCAAGTCAAACAGCACCAGATTAACCACTGATGTCGCCCAACAGTAAGTGGCGCTTTGTGGCACTTTTTTTTTCTAGTTTTATTATGAAAACAGTGGCTACTTCTTTCCATTTTCCAAACACAAACCTTATTGTACAGTTTAGTATCTTTTTCAAATAACTGCCTTTCACGACCCAACACCATCTACTGAGATTCTGAAACGGCTGTGGAAGCAAATACACCTACAAATGTGCACACATGCACACACACACGTGCACACACAGCCCCACCAAACAGCGTAATCGTACCGCCCTGTATGCACAACTATGCCTTAGGGCTACTGGCCTGAATGACTCTGATCACCTCCAAATAAGAATGAAAGGGTCATATTCATTCCAGAATGGTCAGCACTGCTGGATTGATCAGAGACACTGCAACATGTGCTTCAGGCCCTGGTGTGGCCTGTCAAAGAGGTGAAGACAGCCCTGACCATCTTTCCTGCTTGGATCCAGGTGCTTGGTCATCTTTCTGTCCCCAACACACGGAATCTGTCCTACTCTGACTACACCCTCACCAGGAGCCCTGTGAGCACCATCCTGGCTCTGACTTTGTCTGTGCCTGAGTCCCTCTCCTCGGTCCCGCTCTGCCCCGCCCCGCCTCTGCCTGGCCCCGCCCCCAGCCGCCTCCGCCAGCTTCTCCCTGTCTGCGCAGACTCAGGAAGCTGTTGCTGGTCAGTGTGCCCTGTTCCTATGCGCGCTCAGTCTGTCTTCCCTGACCTCCGCAGCCTCCCGTTCCCTCTACTTGTGCTCAACCTTGTTCTTCCCGCCGCCTCCCCTAAGACTGAGCTCACTCTTAGTAATTTGGCTTGAGTTTTTCGAGTCCTTTTGAATGTAGCCTGAGACTTAGTTACAGGACGATATGAGTTCAGATGACGCACAGGTGCAGACAGCCAATGGTACTTGTTCTTTTATCAAAGATGCCAAGTGATTCTGGGTCATCCTCTCTTCTCCACAGTATTTACGGAGACCCTGCACATGCCCACCTCTATTTGAGGGTGCTGGGTCTAGCAGCCAAAGAAACCAAGCCGCAGAGAAGGATGGGCTTTCCAGAGGCTCCTTGGGGAAGGTTTGCTAAATAAAGCAATGCTTGAGGGGAAAGCCGAAGGAAGTGAGGAAAAGTCCAGAAAACACTGAACTCCTGTTCCTGAGTTTGTGAGACGTTCCTTCATAAAATGTAAATATCACATCTATTCTTAAATGTTCATGACACAAACAAAAAGAACTTCGATAGAGCCTTGGTGATAAATTGCAGATAAATTTTGTCATGCATACTCTGTCTTCTGACGTGGTGAGTGAAGTATAAAAACCTGCATAGGGACAAATCACCTCTGCGGGAAAAGCATGTGAGCTTTAATAAATCTAGACCTCAAAAGTACAGAATTACCAGGCAGACATGCCAGGGTTCTTTTGAAGACATCTGGTGGAGTCTGCATTTCTGAGCACCTTGTCATTTAATCTGCCCAGGGAACAGCTCTTTAAAAGCAAACAAACAAACAAAACAACAACAACAAACAAACAAACAAAGAAAAACATCTACCATTATCTATCCATCTACCAGGGAGAGATGTTTTAAACTGAACATACAGTTGATGGGTTTGCTTTGGAATCATCACTTAAGTTTAGCAAAGGTAGTCAACAAATTTCACCTCTAGGGCAGACTACTTTGAAGAAAATTAAAAATACTCCGTTGGCTTACAGAATTGTCCAAATCGTTAAATACTAAAAAGAATCGCCCTTACATACATTTCTTGCGTCTTCCGCAGAAATGCAGCTTCTGTGGTTGCCTGGGACTGGAGCCACCGCGCGGGGGTTGATCTTCGTGGTGGAAGAGGTGGTGGTTTTCCAGCCGCCAATTTCTCTCCATCATCGCGACCTGGTGGGACCCTGGATCCCGAGGCTCGGTGGATCTTTTGTACAGGATGTGGGAGGGAGGCCCAGCCCCCGCAGAGTCCTTGGGGGCCCCTGCCAGGTGTGAAGGGAGGGGCTTCAAGAAGTAGTCCGCTTCCTGGGTTCTTATCATGCCTGACTGCAAAATAGAGAGGGAGAAAGAAATGTGCATCACTGTTTTGTTATCTGCACAAACGTGCTGTTCCCGCCACTGAGAGCACACGTTGAAAGGGGTCGCACAGGGGGCTGAGAATTAGGGATGGGACAGCCCCACTCTTGAGCCCTTTCCCCACCCACACCCTTGCAGAGACACTGGTGTGGAGGTGTCCTGACTCGACTCCAGGAGCAAAGAGAGTGCACAACATACTAAGGTCAGGTCCTTTAAAGCAAAAATTGGAGGAGAAAGCACACAACCCTAGATATTAATATGGGTGGAGGTGGTGAGGGGAGTTCCCAAATAAAGACGTAAAATTATAATCCTAATATAGTAAGTAGCAAAATTCTATTCAGACTTCAATAAAGTGTGACACTTTCTATAAAAGTGTAACTTGACAAAATTAATCCAGAAGAAAGCACAAGGAATTTCTTAGGGAATCAGGGAGGTCTTTCTAAGCAAAGTATTTGGGAAATAGGAAAGAACTGATTATAAAAGCACAAAAAATGTCTGTACAGCATAACAGACAATGAAAGCACAAACAATGACAAAAATATCTTAAAGGAGAGAAAATTGAGAGACTTGCCTTTTAGAGTGGCAAGTATTTTTCAAACTTGATAATTGTTAGGAGAAATGGGAGCAAACAGGCAATGACACTGGGAGAGGGTAGACTGGGGCCAGACCTGCCACATCTATCAGCATTGAAAATGTATAATTCAATTCTAGGATTTTACACTTTTGGAATTCTTTTTTTTTTAACATCTTTATTGGAGTATAATTGCTTTACAATGGTGTGTTAGTTTCTGCTTTAACCTTTTGGAATTCTTGCCAAATACTTCTTGTAGGCACTTCCCCAATATTGATAAGTATTTGTGAATGTATAATTGAATCCTTGTTTGTAATAGCATAAAAAATACAAACAAAATGAAAAAATAATCAAAACAAGAAATAATTTAAATGTTTACCAACTAATTCAAGGTAATCTTTAAAAGTACATTTACATATTTAGCAAGAACATAATGATTTAAAAAGGCCAGCTAATTATGTCCTGATAATAATCTTAACTAAACATTGTGTGTGTGTGTGTGTGTGTGTGTGTGTGTGTGTGTGTGTGAGCTCCTAAGACTATGGCCAACATTTTCTATATTACACCTTATTTATCACTCACAGCAATTCTGTGGAAATAGAGAATCAGGCTGATAAAACAACATTTTCAAGGTCACCTGGGAAGCAAAGTATAAGGATTGGAACAAAATCAGAATAAATTAAAAACCTGTAAGCTTAAGGCTTATACTGTAGGGGTCCCAGAAGTTGTTATTTTTAAAAAGTGTATAATAAAGTATATAGTGGGATTCCAAATCATTTTTACAAGTGTGCATCTACACTTAAAGAATTTTCCAAGAAGGACTGATGAGAAATTGCTGATGCTGGTTATGTTCAGGGAGAGAAAATCGAGGAAGAGGGATGCAAGAGGGGGATTCCACTTCCATTTTTACATCCTTAGGCACTACTCAAGTTTTTAAACTCTGTGTGCATCCTTTCTTTAAAAAAAATGTCAATGGCATTGCTGGATCATGGGATTACAGATTAATTTTTTAAATCCTTCTAAATGTTTTAAAATACCTTTATAATTTTAGAATACAAAGAATTACTCCTACAGAATTATCCAGCTATAATTTAGAACTCTCCAGTACAGTATTTATATGTGTACTGATTTTTTGCAAGTTATTTTGATAATTTAGGACACTGATTAGACCCTTATTGGGTATTCAAAGACACTGACGCTTGGTTGCCTGTTCTAAGAGTGCCTCTGATTTAGATGCCTGAGTCTGATTCTCATCTGGGGGGGGCTTAGGGCCCATCACTGCACAACAAATAAAGTTCCGCGGTGGACTGAGTTGTCCTGCATGGGTCTGAATATTTGCACAGTGCAGGATGACAGACATGGAGAAGCACTTCTGAGATCTTGGGAAAGGGCCAAATACACCTCTCAGGGACAGGAGGGTTGGGGGTGGAGACAGGAAAGAGAGGGGCAACCGGGCTTATCGTACATTCAGAGATTAAGCATTGGCCATGGTGTTCCTGCTGGTGGGAAAGAGGTAAGAGAAGGTAAACTTGGTAAACTATCAATGAAGCCATCAGCCCCATGGGGTGTAGACCTCCCGGGGCCCAAATGCCAGCTAGCAGTGGAAAGGTGAAATACTTGGAATTTATGCTCTGGATTAAGGTGGAGGAGGTGGGGGGCTCTCATTGGTGAGCTCCATGGATGCCCTGGGAATCTTTTTGCCCTAGAACTCTACCAACTAAACTAGGATAGTCAATATTTTAAAGTCTTCAGTTCTATCAAGGAAGAGCCTAGTATGGAATTAAATAATAGCTAAAGCTAGTTGGGTTTCATCCCTTTGGCAATTAAACTAACTCAGGAGTCACATGAGCAATCATGAATATGTTCAACCTTGTGTGATAACACTCCCCAGCGAGGTTTTGTACACTACTTAAGGTAACTAGTTGAAATGTTAAACTGAAAAAAATAAAATAGTAATTTTTTGCTTTTAAAAAAATATTTTCTGACATGCAAACAATCCCTTGCTTTTCAAATCACCCTGAAAAGATGATAAGCTCCTGTGGGTGCTCTAGAGTAGATGATGTTCAGCATCTCTGGTGCAAAACTGGGTGGACTTGCAGAGAACAGACTGATGGGTCAGACACCCAGCATTTATTATCCTTTTTTCAACATGATCTCTGTGACTTCGGATGATTTACTCATCCCCTCTGTGCTGTTTTGTCCTCTAGGGAGCGGATACAAAGGCAGCTACTTGCCACGAGATTGTAAGATTTAACAAATAATATATATTTAAAATACATGGCCTCCAAAATACATGGCCTAAGCAAAAATATTTGCTGCATTAATGAAACAAAGAGTGTAAAATATCGTACTTCACCCTGATGATCTCTGATTCCCTTCTGTAATGCAAGGAGTTTCTGGGGGATTTTTCACTCTACAGTACGAGATCCCTCTGAAGACCGTGTGTGGGTGTATCCCAACACCATCACCCCAAACACATCTTTGCTTCTGGCCTGCTGCCTCAGGCTTTCTGGCTTCCTCCCCTAAAACACTTGTGTTCTATGACAGCTGTTCCAGATTCAAAACCACCTCCTGCTTTCCCCTGGGTTTAAGGCTACATCCTGGGTGGCCCAGAGGACCAGATCCGCAGGCAAGAGAGAACTGCCTCTGGAGGACTTCTGAATTTTCACTAACACAGTAGTCAAGTGTTTATGCTTGTTTCATTTATAATTTAGTCTGAGCTACAGTATTCTGTATTTAAATAATCCCCTATTTCATTAACTACATAGAATGACACAATAACTGATAAGACTGATATTTTGATATTCCTCTATAATCAATACATACTGAAAAGTACAAGAAAAAAGTTACTCCTTTTTTCTTGCTGCGTTAATCTTGCAATAAATCTTGCTGTATTATTTATTAGTTTGCAAGCTTATTTAAATGATTAGGTAAATTGTGGAAGATTAATGTTTTCTTTTTATCAGTGCTTTTCTTTACTGAATCGAGAATATTTACTTAGTAGCTCATAAAATGTCTGGTGTACACCTGCCCACAGTAACCATTGGGAGGTAAGCTGGGTGGATTATTAACCGGCTTCAGAAAAGGTCAGCTTCTCCCAGGCATTGCAGGGGAGCTCTCCAGACACCTGCATCTCTCGTCGCCAGTTCTGTAAATCATTTGACATTGGGAAACTCAACACTTGTACTGCATTTATAAAGAGAGAAAGAGTGGGTGCCCTGTCAGTGATGAGAAAGTGCTGTTTCTCAGACTCACAGATACAGAGAACAAAGTAGTATTTACCAGTGGGGAGAGGAAAGGGGGGAGGAGCAATCAAGGGCTAGGGGATTAAGAGGTACAAACTATGATGTTAGGTATAAAATAAGCTACTAGGGTATATTGTACAACATGGGGAATATATCCAATATTCTATAACTATAAATGAAGTATAACTTTTAAAAATTGTGAATCACTATACCGTACACTTGTAACATATAATATTGGACAGCAACTATACTTCAATAAAAAATAAAAGAAAACAAAAAGAAAAAATGCTGGTTCTGAGCAATGTAAGAAAGTGTTGAAGGTAGGATGTTTACTGTATTATATTTGTTGCTATTCACACTTAAATGCTGATAGATCTTTATTAATGTATACCTATTTAGAAAGGCTGTCTATAAAAGTTGCATGAATCAAAAAATAAAATGTAAATTAGGAAGAGATGAGCCTGGTTGGGCAGTGTATCAGATTCCTTCCTGCTGCATAAGGGATTCCTCACTGAACTGGTTGCAAGCTTGTCTCAGGTGACACCACAAGTGTCAATCAACACTGTGAAAAAGTGATCCAGCTCATTAGAAGAAACAGGCATTTCAATTCTTAATTCATTTCATTTTTACTGTACTTCTTTGTCATTTCTCCAAAAGTGTGATTTGTATTGGGAATATTCTACTCATTCTAGTCTCTTTAGTGATGTTCCTAAAACACAAGACAGATGCAACTTTTATAGAACTTTTATAGTTACTTTGTCTTGGGCACCATCTATGTGGCAGGTAATATGCTAGGTGTTTTGCTCTATTTATTATTTTTATTCTAATAACAAACATATGAAGTGAGAATTAATGTTCCCATTTAAAGTAATGGGACATTAAATGCATACATTTGCCCAACATTGTAGAGCTAGGAAGTGGGGTAGTTAAGATTAAAATTCAGAATTACTCAGATTTACACATTGTTGTCAGCACGCCATGTTATTTCTCTACCGCCATGTATACCCTGGAAAATAACCGCAATACTGGTGGGGGCTGAGAGTGAACTTGAACTAGTTGTAAATGTATATTGCAAACTCTTGGGCGAAAAAAAGAAAAGAAGAAGTAGAACTGATATTCTAAAGCAGGACAGAAAATACAACAGTACAAAATGC